GAGACTTGAGGGGTAGACCCAATCTGGGTCCAGGCATGGGTCTAAAAATTGGACTCGGATGGTCGAGTTCGAGTTTAAATCTTGGACCCAAATACTATTCAGGTCTTGGTCTGGGTCCAGGTCCAGATCCGCTAATATTTTTTGGGTCCCAATATATGCACCATATTTAAATATAACTAAATACATAGATATTTTAATTTTTAGGCCAGGTCCGAGTCCCACATTATATTTTCAAGTCCCAATCCAAATCCCATATCCTGACCTGTTGCCACCCCTATTCTCTCTCTCCTTTTTTATTTTATTTTATAGCACTGCCTCTATAGAAGGTGTCTAAATTATTCTATCTTGGGCAGGGAGGGGTTTATCCGTTGATCAAAAGATATGAGGTGCCACCCATTGCAAACCTACCTTTGTGGTAACCATTCCCGTACCTTATTGATTGTGGAGCATCTGATGAACAAATGGTCATTGGTTTCTTCATGGAATTTGCATACCAAGCATGAATAAGGGAGTGCCTTACCTCTCTTAGATTAATAACTGTGAGAAGCTTCACGACTCAAAATCCACATGGAGTGATGTGTGCAAGGATCTTTTCAAGGTTTCTTTTTAGGTTCCATTTCATAAAGGTCCAATTAAAAAAAATTTGAGATTGTCTACAAATAAACCATTTACTTTTTGCACATAGAGGTCACACTTATTCTCACTCATTAGATATCAAATTTGATAGTTTGGGGTGAGTATCAAAGTCTGAGAATTTTTGTTTTTCAACTTTGTATATAGTCAATGATACTCTTACAACAACCCATTTTGAAATCTAAGGAACAAGCATGATTGTGACCTCCTTATAGAAAAGGCAAATGGTATCTTTGAAGATAATCTCAAAAAAAAATTCTCTAGAATTTGCACACCTAACTCCAAGAATTTTCTTTATTTAAAAATATCTCACACCCCACACCACCAAAAAACAAAAAAGAATTTGCATCTATACCATTTATTCTATTATTTAAATGATCTATTTTCTCCCACTTCGGACCTTCAAGTTCTTTAACTTCCTTACGGACACTAGGAGCAACCTCAACTGCCAGAGGGTAGGAGTGGTAATGGACCCGAGACCCGAAGGGTATACCCGACCCAGGTCTGGGTATGGGTCAAAAAATTGGACCTAGACCCAATCCGACCTGTCGCTAACCCTACTAGACGGTGGCTCTTTGGTCCAAGAGGAACTTAGGACCTTGAATGTCCAAAGTAGGAATACTTTTGATATTTTACGAATAAAAAAAATAGCTATGAATGTAATGACAAAAATTTATGAAGGTCTTAAAGGAAAAGGTTTATATAAGGTCAATGTTAAACAATCAAACTAAGGCGCACCTCAAATATTGGTATATGAAGTTGTTTCGATGTCAAAATCTGATCATCTCGTCCTTAAGATACACAGATGTAAAAAAAACAAAGTCCTTCAAGTTTTGGACATATTGCAGCTTGTAATGTATTATTTAGATCATCAATTTTCAAGAATTTCAAATGTTCATAGATCTGCTTGATCTACGCTATTTTTAAAGCTTCAAATTTTATAATTGGAAATGAAAAAATAAATTTTCAAGTTATCATAAAGATTTTTGGTACTGAAATGGCGTCTTTTGATACTATTTGAAGGCGCGCCTTTGATTGTTGAGGGCCACAAGCATATACAAACCACCCTAGCAGTGTCGTTGTTTGCTAAGTAACCGCCTCTGTCTCTCTAATGCCAACCCAGGGCGAAGGTAAGCAGGGACAGGCAAGGATGCACGAATAGACCTTTTCTAAATAACTAGAATATCTGCCTTAATTTCCCATTGAACTTAACAAATTCCATGTTTTCAATACCAAACAATCAAAATATTTCCACAATTCGGATCTACTAAACACTTTAACATAGGGTAGTTTGACAATTCTTAACCATATTTTTTGAGGAAGTACTTCTTTAAAGATAAATTTGGAAAGTGGACACCATAGTTGAGAGTTTGAATTTTTAAAGTAAAACCCCTTTGAATTTTGTGACACGGCCCATTTATTGATGCACGCGGTTTCTATGAGTTCATATAGAAATGAGTCAATTCTTAAAAATCTATTTTTGATATGGGTTTTTTACTTAATTTTTAAGGACATGTAATCTCTAACATGAAGAGAAGATCATGAATATGAAGAACAAAAATAGTTTCAAATATTTTTAGATGAGCTTATTTGCATTTATTTTTAAGAGGGACGTTTTATACCTTGAGTGCAACAAATGTAGAACTGCAGTTCCTACCGCATAAAAGTTCTATCGTCCCCCTTATCCAACCGTCCATTCTGAATGGATGGCTAAGATTGCCTCAATCACAATGTCACGTATCTACACTATTTTATTTTTGGTTTTTTTTCTCTAAACTATTTTGACACCAAATTTTGAGCGTCTATTCCTTTATTAAACTCGCACTAGTGAAAAATATATAAAAAAAATATTTTCAATAAAATAAAATGACCAAAATACCCCTAAAAATTTTAAGGGGTATTTTGGTAATTATATTTTATCGAAAAATTATTCTTAATATTTTTTATAGGTGCGCTCCAATGAGAAGATGGCACGTACCGAAATACATATTCATAGAATTTGTATAAAAACTAAAAATAAAATACTTTGAGACGTCAGATCTAAAATCAAAAGGTGAGTGACTCTTTTGATCCAAATTTGACGGTTGGATGGTAGGGGGAAGATCAAACTTCTATGCTGTAGGGGAAGCATAGAAACCTTTTTTTCCTCAATCTTTATCTAAAGTTTGTATTTGTCTTTCTTATGCGAATGGGTTTTTATAAATGGCAAGCTTTCTCTGCTTTCCCTATAGCATAGAAGTTCTATCTTCCCCCTTATCCAACCGTCTATTAAGAATGGAGGGCTAAAATTGTCCCAATCACAATATCACGTCTTTACATTATTTTATTTTAAATTTTTTTTTTATAAATTATTTTGACACCAAATTTTGGACGTCCATTCTTTTATTAAACTCGCACTAGCAAAAAATATATTTTTAATAAAATAAAATGACCAAAATACCTTTAAAATTTCAAAGGAAATTTTGGTCATTATATTTTATCAAAAAAATATTTTAAATATTTTTTATAGGTGCTTCCTAATGAGAAGATGGCACATACCAAATTTCATATTCATACAATTTGTATAAAAAAAATTAAAAATTAAATACTTTGAGACGTCGGATCTAAGATCAAATGGTGAGTTGCTTTCTTGGATAGCCGGATGGTAGGGAGAGATAGAACCTCTATGCTGTAAAAAAAACATAGAAACCTTTCCCTTCTAAAAAAAACTGGTTTACGGAGCGAGAAAACCGGGGTGTAAGAACCCATGCTTTATTTCTTGGAGCTTTCCTCATTTTCTTTCTAAAACGCATGTTTCTCTCTCGTTCTTACTCGAGTCGGTGTTTCTCTGTTTCTTATTCGAATCAGTTTGTAAAGAAACTCTTAAAACCGAACCCATGTATTCTCTTTCGAATCTTTTCTTCATTAGCCCATGATTCTCTTTCTTACTCATATCGGTTTCTCAAGAAACTCGTTTTGAAGCTTTTTCTTATTCTCTCTAAAGCCCATGTTTCTCTCTCCAAGTGTTCCAGGTTGTTATTTTTGGTTTTGTCGAAAAAGCGGTTTTACATAGCAAGAAAAGCTGAAGCCTTTGGCGGAAAATGAGATGGCGGCTGCGAAACAACTTGTTCAGCTTAGTGATGATGGGGAATGAAAGAATAGGTTGGATTTGAATTCTTCTCCTCCTTCTTCTTATCTGCCTAGATTTGGATTTGGATCTAAATAGTAAACATCTGATCTTTGATCCAAATTTATCCTGAATCCTAAATATTTAGATCTAAATTTGAATCTGAATAATATATATCGGATACAAATCCAGATCTTATATATATATATATACTATAATTTTAAGAAAATTATATATATATACTATAATTTTAAGAAAATTATATATAAAAAATAAAAATTTATTATTAAAAAAGTCCATATTTGGATGCAGATCGGATCCACCTGCATCCAAATCCAATCTACATTTCAATTTGAATCTGATTTACAGATCTAGATCCCAATTTTAAATCCAAATTTCGAGTCTATACTATAGTTAGCAAGTCGGGGACTGTCATTAAATCGGCTCACTATAAAGTTCGAAACAAATCGTTTTATTTTAAAAAGTCGGATGAAAAAATCAGGTAAAAAATACGGATTGGCAAAAATACTTCATATAAAGATATCGCTAATATATCGGATTAGGCTAAAAAAATCGGAGTAAAAAATCGGATAAATTTATAATATTAGAAATTTTGAAATTCTAAAAAATTAAAATTATTTCAAAGCCATCAATAACTAATTCATCTATAAAAACTTTACTAGACTAATATAATTAAGTCAATTAATTTAGATGCCTCATGACTCTCATCCAATCCTCCAATGTTAAATACATAATTAACTAGTACATATCAAAAATATATATACCATATAAATCTACCCATTAAATACTTTAAGAAACATCACACCTACTTATTACATACCAAAAACAAATATATTATATAAATATATTCATTAAATACTTTAATTATTGTATGTTGACAAATATATTATATAAATTTATTCCTTAATTACTTAAACATCACAGCTACTTAGCATAACCAAAAAAATGCATGATTTTTGTTTTCTCATTACAATGATTTAACTATAGTATGGGGTCTATGGTCACTCCATAATTATGGTTAAAGTTTTATAAATTTCTTCAATTGAAAAAAGGCTTGTAGCAATTTGGGTTTCACACATCTGTATTTACGGTTTAGAGAGAGAAAAAGGAAGAAGGAAGGAAGAGAAGAAAATAGTCCTAAGCTCCTAGCTGGTTTATAGAGAGAGAAGAAGGAAGAGGTCATCGACTTCACAAACCCTAATGGAAGAAGCCCTACTTGATGTTAACTATATTGGTTTGTAAATAGGCCCTAAATGATTTTTAAAGAGAGAAAGAAAAGATGATTTTTTATTTTCTTGAGGAAACAACATCCAAGTTGAAGGATTAGGTTTGGAGAACTCCTTTAAGTTTACAATTTATTCTATATTGTTTATCTTTGTTATCACATCATCCAAACCAAAAATTAATTACTTGGTATTGTAGTCACACTCCCTGCCCATATTTGAACACTCTCTCTCTGCTTCTGTTCCAATAGGGTATGCAGGCATGGTGGGCATGAACAGCAAAGAAGCTTTGGAAAAGGCTATCCTCGAAGCTTCACAGCAGTCCAGGTTTCAGAAGATCGTTCTCAGTTGGGACTATCTCCACGTTCTGGAAAACTCTGAGGTAACTATACTACGCTCCCTCTCTCTCTCTTCTAAACTCTCTCTTTCTCTCTCTAGGCTCTATTTTCTGGGGCGTACTTCTCCTCTCTGCTAACTTCTCTTTTCCTTCTCTTTCCCTTTTCAGAAAAACAAACAGTCATCAAAGGTCTCTGCTTCTTGGGGGCTCAAAAACGTGAAGGAAACCTTCAAAGATGTGGAGGAATACATTGGTATCTTTGAACCCCTTCTGTTTGAGGAAGTGAAGGCCGACATTGTTAAAGGCCTTGATGAAGATGAAGGTACTGTGGTAATTGGAGGTTATTTGTTCTCTGATTTCTCTCTTCTCTCTCTTTTCTTGATCTGTGATTATAGGTCTTCTCTTTTGACGCAGTTATGGAGTGGCAGATGGGTGCCGTGGCTTCCTGTGAGGAGGCAAATGAGTTTCATGCCGTGACTCTGTTAGTCAAGGAAGAAGTTAGAGACAAGTTTTCGGAGAATGATTTGTTGCTGCTCTCCAAGGAAAAGGTTTATTCTCGCTCGTCTTGTTTCTCTGCGATCACTGATGTTCAATTTTTAAGAGATTAACATAGAGTTCTGAATGCCAATTTTGTAACTCCACAACGGCTACTATTGAGGGGAGAGAGATATATCCCTTCCTCTCGGATAAAATTTAAGCTTTAGAGAGAGATAAATTTGATAACCTCCTCTATTTAAATTTTTTCCTGCAGTTTCGGGAGGGAATGCCTCTTTTGAGTGCGTATGGCTTTGCCATGGTTGAGGGCCGCCCTGGTCGAGACACACTGAAGCTAAGAACTTATCATGGTGGAGAATTTGACTATTTGAATACCAAAAAGATTGTATCAAGTACCAGGCTCTCAAATATGCTATCCGCTCTCAAGGCACAAGATAGTGTATTATGGGTTCTAAAGGCAAGTACCTATTATTACAGTTCTGGTTTGAATTGGTTTTCATTTGGTTAAAAAGTTCAGGTTACGGTTTATTTGCAGTAGATTTTTAAGAAGTTTATCTTGGTAAAAGGTCAGATCACAGTTTATTTAGGTAAGTTTTCTATGAAGTTTATTTGGGTCAAGATTCAGGTTATGATTGGATGAACAGTCAGCTTGGTGTTAATTTGAAAACTAAGAAATGTGAAACTTTTTGTTAATAGCCATTTGGGCCTTCCTCTGCTTTCCTTTGTCAATGATATATAAATGTGAAACTTTTTGTTAATAGCCATTTGGGCCTTCCTTTGTCAATGATATATATTAAAAGGGTTTCTTTTCTTTATTATTTTGATGCTTTATTAAATTTAAATGTTTGGATACTGGATTGCGATTGTTTGCTTGAGAACATTAGGATAATTTGATCTTATTTTCTACCTACCTCAGGGTTCGATTTGGCAAAGAAAATGTGTGATAAATGTACCCAAATGTGTGCATTCAATAAGAACTCAAACGTAACTGCCATCAATAGTGAAAACAATATGTACATAAAACCTACATGCTAAGTCTTGATGCATCCACTGTGACCTTTGCTAGGCACTGAAATTTGATGCATGTGCTGCATTCTAATCAAGGAGAAGTTGATCTGTTTCATTTATATGCTTGTAACCCTTCACACCGATGCTAACATCTATAGGAAATCTTCAGTTTTTGTTTTATTTTCAAGCCGCTTCTAGGACCCACTATCATTTTCTGAAAATAATTAAAATTATGCATCCAAGCCTTTCCCAATTAATTGGGATCAACTACATGAATCATGTTCATTCATTCTTCTTCATCATAACATAGGTTGGGGATTCATGATAAGATGTGGGAAAGTTTTATATTGGCTGTCTACCTAATGCAACCCACCTCCTATACCTGGGCGTGGGATGGGTTAAGGGAAAATTTAAAAGTCGTCACCCTTCTTAGAACATTATATTAGAATGTTTGTAAGGTATATATCCTTGACAGAACTAGGCTACTGTGTGAGCAATGTATTGTTCCTAGAAAATTCCTTATGCTTTCGTGAGTGAAATTGGTTATCATATGCACAAAATCTCCAGTGAAAATTTCTTAAAGTACAAATTTGTAATATGTAACCATCTTAGAAAATTCATATGGGGCTTCCTTAACTTGTCAAAAGTATAGAAAATGTCAAATGACCTATGTTACTTAAACTGTCTACTTTATATTGTTAATTCGTTATACATTACTGTATATTGGTTTTACGTCAAGTGTCAACCTTGTTTTTGTCTTTTATAATACCTTGTCCTGAAGGAAGCCTGGAAGTTTCAGTTCCCAGGTCTTCTATTTTTGAAGTTTGTTTTCTATAAATGTTGAACTCATCAACTTTCTTGTGGGGTTGTGATAAGTTGTACAGATAAGCAGTTTGTCCACAATTACCCGGGAATATTCTGCACTGCACTCTATTGGTTCTCTTCCCTTTGCAGATTTAATACTCTCAGCATCTGAAAAATCAAAGACTGGCGACCCAGAGCACCAAACTTGGAATGTTCCCAGACCTCTCATGGATTCTCTGGTGGATAATCACAACCAGTCACAATTAGAGGCTATTCAGGTGACTTTTAGTTTCTAACCGTGGTACTTGTTAGTATGGAAGTATAAACTATGGGAAAACTATGCTTCAAAAATCTACAAAGGGAATGGTTGTAAAGGCCAAAGGGAATGGTTGTAATGGCCATTATGGCAGAAATGGCCCCAACCCTTTACACTATGCAACAATAACAATACTCCTTGTAAAATGCTTGTCGCGAATAAACAACAGGATTTCGTTAACTTTAGTGACTGTTTTTAATGAGCATGCTAGTTATTACAATGGGTTTCAACAGTTGGGAAAAAAGTATGTGTCATCTATTATTTTGCCTGCAAATGTCTGGAATTTTATAGGCTCCACCTTTTACATTAGTTATAATTACTTCTTAAATTATATATTTTAATGAAAGTGTCACACTTATTAAATCTCCTCAAACTCTGTTTTTGTCCTCTTTTTTTTTTTTCAAGTAAAGGCTGTTATGATATATCTTTTGAAGCTTTGATTAATTACTTAGTCATGCGATTACTATTTCTGATATGGTCTTGTATAACCAGCCAAAATTTGACCCTTGGAAAGACCACTGTCTATTGAGTGCTAACTGTCCATGAAAATAATGGACAATGATTGATAGAAAATGGGGCCCACAAGAATGGGACATGACCCCATGTCAGTGATTTAAAAAGTAGACCGCCTAGCACCTAGGCGGTCTAGAAAGCTTGGGCGCATCGCCCAGGCCACGGCAGCCAAATTGGGCGGGATATCCTTGGACGCCTACCTAGGTGCCTGGGAATCTGCCTAGGCGGGCGCCCAGCCCTGGGCAGCCGCCTAGGGGTAGAAATGCCCCTCATTGAGAGCATTTTTTGGTCATTTTTTTTAATACTAAAAGGGAAAAATTGTGGGTTTTAGGTTCATTTGAAACCTAAAACCCATTAGAGCCTATTTTAGAGAGAGAAAAACCCAAAAAAAAAAATTTTGTGATTTCCATAGGATCAAAGGGTTCCTCAAAGTTACGAGAAATTATTCTAAGCATTACCCATTGATATTAGATTTAGTTTTGAATGTTTTATAAATATATTAGAAGAGTGTTTAGAAGATTTTGAGTTCTTATAAACATCTTATAGGTGGAAGTTTGGAAGTCGAGCAATAAAAGTTAGTGATTTTTTTTATTACTTATTTACTTGTATTTTTTTGAGATGTATTCTTCGGGATCTAATCAAAGTGGTGATATGGGTTGATGTGCTTTAAATCCCTAATTCTTATGTGTTATACAGTTATAATTTTACTGTTAGACTATGGAGAAATTTTGCTTTCTACTGGGCTGCCCAGGTTCTGGGCGCCCACCTAGGCGCTGGGCGGCCTGGACCCCCCCCCGGCTGCCTAGACATCGCCTAGCACTTTTTGAAGCACAGCCCCATGTTGTATCCTACTATCAATGTCCAGCTAGGAGTGTAAATGGGTCGGGTTAAGCCCTATTTTGACCCGCTCAACGAGGTGACTGGTGAATGCTTATCTGACCCCGGTCAAGGTCCAAATCAATCAAACTTGGATGGGTCTAAGTCTATATATATATATATATATATATATATACATAGGGTGAGGTTTGTATAAGGTACCATTGAAGTAAAGTATGCCTCAAAATTATGCCAAAAATGTAGTTTCGGCGCCACAAAGCCTCTTGATGATATGAAAATCTATTGTTGCCCCCAATTATAAAATTTAAAGTTCCAAAAATGGTTACGATCAAGTAGATCTATAAATACTTGAAAATGGATGGTCCAAATAATGTGTTAGAAGATGAACTATTTTTGGGATCGGAATCCATTTTTTTTTATGTCTATGAATCTCAAGGTCGAGATGATTGATTTGAGGGTTTTTGAGCTTGGGAACAACCTTCACTAGTGGGTTTTTTAGGTGCACCTTACCCGTACAGTAGAATGTCGAGACCTTATGTAAACTTTTTCCATATATATATGGATATCGTATAATACATATCTTTATTGTAAAAACTAAAAAATCAACGTTGCTACCTTTTATGTTTACTGTTCTAAAAAATATCCTGCAATTCATCAATTTTATGCTCATGTCCCTTTTTATTTTCCCCAAAATGCCCTTAGTTTGGAACTCCAAATTCAAGACTTTGTTCCCTTTGTGACTTACTTGTTAGTTTGGCACTCCAAGTGCCGAACTTGTTTTTTGTGAAAAAATGTGGTTCAGAGCTTGGAGTTCTGGGCTGCATTTTTGCTTATTTTTTCTGAATGGTAGTTTGGAACTTCAAGTTTTGAACTGCTTTCATTTAGTTATTTTTGTCAGTGGGTGGTTTGGACTTGAAGTCAAAACACTTGTGTTTGTTTTCTTTTGTAAATGGTAGTTCGGATCTTTTATTTTGGTGAATAGACGGTTCAGACTTGAAATTCTAACAAAAAGTTAAATTTGGAACTCTGAATTCTGAACTACATTTTTAACAGAAAAAATTGGGTCGAAACTTAAAAGTTTCATATCTTGAACAAAGGCAAAATGAGAATGAAGCCAGTTCAAAACTTGGACTTCCGAACCAAAGGCCTTTTGTGAGAAAACAAAAGGGAAAGAGGGAAGTGAAGGAAATTTTGAAAATTTTGATGCCGCAAAAATAAAGGAATATTTACATTAATTTCCTGTTATAATATAAAAACATATAGAGTGTATTGTGGGCCAACCAAGATTCGACCCGACAAGTGGTTCCAAACTTTTGGACCCGGACCCGACCTGCCAAGTCCAGAACTTGGACCTTAACCTGGACTCAGGTTGACCCAACCTGATTGTCACTCCGATCTCCAGCATTTCAATAGATGACAATGACTATGGTTTTCCCACATCTGGTTTTTGTTTAGTTTGTCGGCTTGTAGTAACTTTTCCCTTTTATTAAAGATTTTTTTATTTTTTGTGAGAATGTTAACTTTATTAAAGGTATAATTATATGCATGGAGTAATATGAGACTATCTGGGTTGATACTGATCTTCTGTATTTTCCAGGCTGGACTTTCTCGTAGAACTTTTGTGCTGATACAGGTATGGTCAATGACATTTCCTTCAGTTTCCTAGCATTTAGTTTACTTTTTCATTTTTAATTTTTTATTGTGTGGATCTTGTATTTCTTTATTGCATATGTATCAATTATACCAATTATATTTGTGAAATGATAATTTTGTGCAATAATAGTTTCTGGTCATGGAATTGACAGTAATTGTTCATGGGTTCATGGGCTTATATGCATACGAGTTTTGGTTCATATGCTAAATACAAGATACTGCTGAACCTCCAGTAATTGTTCATGGGTTTATGGGCTTATATGCGTACAAGTTTTGGTTCATATGCTAAAGCACGTCACATACAAGATACAGCTAAACCTCCAATGTGCACTCTTTCCTGCAATGAAGTTGTCTAACACAATCTATTATCCTTGTATTTCCCTTTGTCCCTAGATGGGAAACTGGATTTCCTGCAATGAAGTGGATCTTCTTGTTCTTTATTGCATATGCATCAGTTACACCAATTATATTTGTGCAATAATAGTTTCTGGTCACGGAATTGACAATGATTGCTCATGGGCTTATATGCGTATGAGGTTTGTTTCACCTGCTAAAGCATGTCACATGCAAGATACCGCTAAACCTCCAATGTGCACTCTTTCCTGCAATGAAGTTGTCTAGCACATCCTATTATCCCTGTTCTTCCCTTTTTCCCTAGCTGGGAAACTGGATTGACTTCAACCAAGGGTTACGTTCTCTATATGTTCAGATCTTCTCTAGGTTACCGCCATTGTTTATCCATCACCTATATTGTGGATCTTGAAGTAGGCACAATAAACTGTAGGATTCCAAGTACTACTTTTGAGGACTTGTATCTTCATTTATCAATGTTTCTTCACGTCCTTTGTGCATGCTGTCAGCCATCTTTCCATATGTGTTTAATAGCTATTAAAATTTTATGAACAAATCTAAACTTATATATTTCAGGCTAAGATCCATAATCCAGGCGTTGAAGATGCCCTGAAGAACACTCTGCAGTTTTTATTTGTTGTGATAGATAATAATATTAAGAGTTTTATGACAGTTACGAGTGTGCTTTGCCACACATTTAAATCCTGAAAAGAAGACCTGAAAACACATTGCAGTTGAACAGGTTTTAAGTTACATGTATATCAGATATCTCACAAATCTATCAGCTTACTGTATATATCATTGCACCTCCAAACATTGGATAACGTTATAAGCTCAACTTCTATGCATCACATATGTCCTAAAAGAATTGCTAGTGGATATGGTTCATTTAAGCTATAATTTTCACATGCAGTACCAAAGTTATCCTTTTGCAGTTGGCTTGCTTTCATCTGTTATCTTCTCTCGTTCTTGCATTTCAATTCATTTCATGATTTGGACACTTCGACAGTAATTGCATGTACTTAATAGAATAAATTCGTGAACTAGAAGTATCTACTCAGTTTTTACTACTGTTTTTTCTCCTAATTTCATCTTCTTTCAACACTCATATGCAAGCTATTCCTCTTTCTTAGGGTCCACCCGGAACAGGAAAGACACAGACTATTCTTGGGCTTCTTAGTGCCACTCTACACTCTGCTCCAACAAGGGTTCAATCTAAGTAATAATAACTCTTTTCAAGTTCTATTTTTTTGTTGTGCAGAAATGACCATTCACAAAACTTTATGGTAGCATATAAACTTTGCTCTGTTCAAACACATGGGAAATGGGATTCAAAAATTGAGTCCATTGCATCTTTTTTCATTCATGCATTTAATCTTTGTTTGTAACTATGTTTTACTTTACTAATTATGGTTTACTTTACTGGTTTCTTGTAATTCAGAGGAGTATTCTCACCCTTGCAGCACAGAGCACAATTGACTTTTGAGGACAAGTATCTCTCTTTTACCTAATAATTCCTTTCTGATCTAGTTTTATCTTCATCTTAAATTATATATTGTGTATAACTGTATGTATATTCATGTATGTTTCCGAATTTTATTGGAAACTGCTATAATATATTTGCTTTATATTTGGTTTCTACAACATCCTTGTTAAGTCATTTGGGCTTCCTGAATTTGGGTTTGCAAGTGAGAACATGCCCAGATGATGTTGTAATTGCATGTTGCTCTTGGAAATTTTTAGATCAACTCATTGGATGAAGGCTTCACCTTGGTTAAGTGGATCTAATCCAAGAGATTTGATAATGCCCGTGGATGGTGATGATGGCTTTTTCCCAACCACTGGAAATGAATTGGTAAGCTATGTTATAAACTCATGCAGCATTATAGTACCATTATTTATTTTGTTCTTAACTTTGTATTTTGATATCTTGTTTCTTGTTGTAGAAACCTGAAGTTGTTGCGTCAAATCGCAAGTATCGAGTGCATGTGCTGGTTTGTGCACCTTCAAATTCTGCCTTGGATGAGATAGTTTTGCGTCTACTAAATACAGGCAATATATACAAATTTTCCAAACCCATTACTTTTTGGTTTCTAGTCTCTTTTTATAGTTGACATTGTTTATTGCGTTACATAGAGAGATGAATTTCAAATTCCTGATACCCTGTAATTTAATATTGCTCGTTTTTTGAGGTCTATTTAATATTGTTTGTTTTGTTATGTTGAAATTGAATTTTGAATTCATGTGTGAGATAGAATTCTTGCATGATATTATGGGGGTCCTCAAGTTTATGATTTGAAAATGGGGCAAATCCGTGTTGAGATATTCTTTTAAAAAAAATATGTGCAATATTTGTTAATATCCCTTATTTTTTGGAATTAAAAAAAAAATCTCTTGTCCATATACCAGAATACTTGATATGATATGGTTGTACAGTTATTTGTTAGCATGTTTAAATATACTGGATCTATTTAACAAAATCAATTCCTTTGGGTGAGATCTGGATTCTTTTTTCAATGAGGTGAGATTTGGTGGCTAGGGTGAGCTAGCCAAAGCATCCCTGGCGAGGTAGCTGATTGACAGCCTCTATGGAGCTCTTTAGGGGGCTCTTCTTCCTTGACACTTGCCAACCCCCTACGACAAACATAACCCTACATTATAGGAGGCCCATACTGGAACAGAAACCGACCACATCCCCACCGGCTACCTGAAATTAGTATACCAAATGAACCCCTGTATGCTAAACAACCCTGGTTGGGTGTGTTTCAAACCAATTCAATCAAATATGGAGCACAGGACTGGATAATATTGTGGCCGTTGTGTCCTTGCAACATGGGATTAAAACCAAGGGATGGACATCGGAACCCCATAGACCCAACAAACCCCTAAAAGGTAGGGAATATGAGGGGATCCGGACACCGGCAACCCAAGAATGTCACAGCTGCCAAAATTATCAGTCCTCAAACTGAATGCCTGCCATATCTGAATCATCCCTACCGCAATGCAAACCAGCCTAATTGCCCTAAACCTGTGCCCCAAACAAATACGTTACCAATCTCCCCAATGTCTGAGCCCAAACTAGAGGATGGGGGATGATAAATAGCGGAGGAGAGGAAAAGTAGAGGAAAAAGGAAAAATCAGGCAAAGAACCAGGCAGGAAGCAGGAAGAGGGACAAAAATGATGAATCCAGACCAAAACCTCTCTTGCCCTGATCATTGGATTCGTTACAGACGTGAGAACCGAGGTTAATCCATCTGTGACACTTCAAAATTTAACAGATAAAGAGAAATCACCATGAATAACATCCTCCGTAGTCAAAACTTATGGATACCATAATGTCAAGATATCACCAGTGGCCCTCGAGATGGAACGAAATCCCATTCACTTCTAATGAACTCCAACATGCCCTCACCAACACCCTGTTGCAGCCTCCAACTTTGACTTGCAACATGAGCAATGTACTCATATTCCTCTTTTTTTCTAGTTCACCAGAAACCCTAGATGTTCAGTGATAATATCTTCATGTTAGCATCTTTCTTTGGGGCTCCTCCTTACTCCGATATCTCACCCTTCCAAACTCTGTCTTTCCCATGTAGTTCTATTGATTAAAAAGAAAGACGGAGCTAAAAGATATGTAGAGATGCATCGTGAGCTCAATAAACTTGTGGAAGGAATTTTGTAGACCAGCTGGGGATAGTTTTGGAAAAACAGAAGTTTATTTTCATTGCAAAAGTTATAAGGGGGTAGAGTATTTTACAGCATATAAATAAAAAAGTCCCAATAGGTCATGTATCTCGTTGAAAACTCTCTTTTTAAGGAAAAAAGTCTGTAAAATATAGAAATAGGATCTTTTCATACTCTGTAAAATTTGTTGCTCTCATTTAAGATAGTGCATACTGATCAGTGATTTCTCTGATTAGGTTATGAAAGTTCTTTTTGTTCTTCGGTCAGGAGTATAACTAGTGTATGTTCTTTGTTATTTGTATTATTAATTGAGGATAAGAATTCTTTGTTATTTGTATCATTAATTGAGGGGAAAAAATTAGGAGGTAGTTTCTAGAAAGTGAAAAGAAACATGTTTATGTATAAGGGTGAGGTTTATATAAGGTGCCCACTTTATACTATACAGATAGGGTGCACCTCTAAATTTTGCTGAAAAATGTAGTTTTGGCGTCAAAAACCTTACGATGGCTTAATTATGAAATTTCAAATTTGAAAAACAGTGTAGATCAAGCAGATCTATAAATACTTGAAAAACTTGAAAATAGACAATCCTGATAACTTATTACAAGATGCAGTACTTTTAGGACTTGAAATTTATTTTTTCTACTAGATTTTTTACCTTACTTCTATAGTATAAGGTTAAAACCTTATATAAAACTTTTCCCTTCGTATAAATATATACATATATAAACATATAAGGATCAGCTGATGGTGATGATGATGTATGTTTAACTGCATACAGGCACTTGTGTGTGTGTGCCAATGATGAAGCATACCTTTTTTTTTGTTTTGAAAGGAAAAAAGAGAAATATTATTTTTTAAAAGGGACAGATACCTCATCAATAGGTTTTTGGTTTATGAATAAAACAGGGAGAAACCTTTTTAGCTATTCTTTTTATTCTATGAAAGCAAGGAAGAGTTGGACATTGAGCTTGAAGGGAGAACCTTGGGTCTTGAGAAGAGAAAAATCATTAGGTTTAAAGACTAGAGAGAGTGAGAGACCGAGCATTGTTAAATTCTTTTCTCTAGGTTAACTCAGGGTCTAGACTGAGAGAAAGAAGACATCCGAGGGTTGCAATTCTTTATGCGTGGTGTTACATGATTGTCAGAAAGAAGATGAAATGCAGAATACAGTTGCATTCAAAGAACTTTGCTGTTAGTCATTTTTATCTGGTCTTCTTGGGTAGAAGGCTAAAAGTTTGTCACAGGCTGGAGAGAAGTTACCATTTGATATGTATTGGGGTAGATTTCTAAACACAAATTGGTTCTTGTATGGTTTGACTTAAAATCTGAAATAAGCAAAACCTTAATTCATGTGAAACTGGGATTCTATTGACCCTGAAGCATTGTGATTCAAGTTCATTTCCATCATGCCTACCTGCATTATGGCTTCAATAAGAAATAAAAAATTGAAAGATTTCCTTTATTATTTCCTATGTAGAAGGAATGCTTGAATTTTATATTGGCATTTTTTTATATATTCACACTCATTTAAATGCTTTCATGGTTGCAATAAGTAAGGAAGTCAGATTCCTGCCTTTTGGCTTCTGTTGTAATGGTGTTCTTTTTCCAAGTTTAACAGACTATATTGCAATTGGTCAGGTCTTCGTGATGAAAATGACAATGTCTACAATCCAAAGATTGTTCGGATTGGTCTTAAGCCCCACCACTCAATTCAGGCAGTGTCTATGGATTACCTTGTATGTGTGTGAGAGGGAACAGCATTCGTATAATTTCCTTTGGTTTTTTGGGCATATGTTGGTTGCAAATGACATGCTATTTATTTGCAGGTGGAACAAAAAATGGCAACTATGGATCGATCATCCATTGCCAGCCAGCGTGGTGGTTCTGCAACACTTGAGCGGGACAGAATCCGTGCTTCAATTCTTGACGAAGCAGCCATTGTATACATACAACATTCTATTAAAAAAAATAAAAAGCATTGCAGATTTATTTCCTCTATGCCCTTATTGTTTCTTTTTGAATTGACAGGTATTTTCCACTCTTAGCTTTAGTGGTTCAAATGTTTTTAGTCGAATGAGTCGTCGTTTTGATGTTGTCATAATTGATGAAGCTGCTCAAGCTGTAAGTCCCTTCAATCTCAGTGGTTGACAGGAAACTATGTTCACAATTCATACTCATTGAGAATTTTTTCTTATTTCATGATTAACATAATCTCATTGAATTAAAATGGACTTGCAAGTACTACTGCACAGCCTGCGTATTGCACATGCAACCAATCAAATTATTAATAAATTTTTATTTCATACTTAGTTTGATAGCAATTATTTTTAAAATAGTAAAAAGGGCACAATAAGAACATGAAAATAAACTATCATAGTGTATTATCTAAATTCATTGTAAAATTGGAAATTAAGGGATTCAAAATAATACTGAGAATTTTATTAAGATTAGTTGACAGTGTTAAATCTTTTTGTATCAGGGCTCTTTATCCAATAGGATAAGAAATGACTCTTTATTTCCAGATAGTTATGTTCAAATCAATTGAAATGAAAGGTTGTAATAAAAAGAATTGAAACAAATGGCTATAGCCACACGATGGTGATGGGCAAACGTATGTTGCAAGAAATTTAGTACAGGTGGTATAAATAAATCCTGTAATTTGGGTCCTTACATTGTTCTAAAATTCAAAGAAATTCACTTCTGTTGATATCTGAACCCCCCCCTCGTGTTGAGAAATCCACCATCTTATTTGTCTCTCACCTCAAGTGGGATAAAGAAACCCGAGCTGCTGATTTAGGCAAAAGTTACCTTGAATGCTTCTTGAAGTCTTCATGGGCATTCCTTGTTCTACGGACTCATTGAATAAACATGGACCTGTTCCCTCTTTCCCTAGATCCTCCCATTTTGTAGCAATGCACTTCAATGCAGCAACCCTTGCTCTAGTGTTTGCCTCATTGGAATTGCACCTGTTCAGAGGTCTTGAGTAGGTCATGTGCACTAATGTTACCTGCCCTAAGGACCCCTCCAGTGGCAGGTCCTTGGTTGGTCTTGGATCTCCCATCGAAGTTTCATGCTGCCTATGGATGCAGCTATTTACTTTTCCAACCCCCGCTTGCTAGATTGCCTCTCGGGATGATTTGCCACTGGTTCTCAAAATCTACCCTGAAGTATCCCACAAAGCTCCCTTCATGTTCTAGCCAAAGAAAGAATTGTCGCCAATACCTTTTTTTGGGTAGTTGAACGTGGAAGGGGCTCCCTACTCGTGGTAGGAATGAAACTCAAGGCATCATGTTGTTGCCCCCTGCTACCCTGACTACCTGGCCTTGAGCCTATTCATCTTGCGGCTAATATCCCTTCCTATACTCACTCAAATTGTATGTCTTTTATCCATGAAGGACCTGCTATTGCACTCAATTCGATTATCCACTCCACTGCTAACATAGCTAGTCTCCACATAAGGCTTACATTTGGCAGAGAGGTAGAAATCTATTGGGCAACCAGCACATCTATCAAATCTGGCATTACATGATTCATTTCAAAAGAATCCCAAAAGAAAAGGGCCATAATTCGCTTGTTGATTACTCTAAAACTTTTGCACATGTTGCCAAACTTAATTTAGTTGGAGTAGATATATCTGTATTAGCAAATAGGGGCTGGCCACTGTGGCAGCTTGATGTGAAGAATGCCTTCTTCCATGGTGATTAACAAGAGGAGGCGTACATAGAGTGGCCACCTAGTTTGTTGCTTAGGGGGAGTCAGATAAGGTATGTAAATTGAAGAAAGCCATTTACAGTCTGAAGCAGTCCCCACATACATGGTTTGAGAAATTTAGTGTAATTGTTGTGGCATATGGATTTTGACATAGCCATGCAAATCATATTGTGTTTATCTAGAAACAGGACTCCAAGATAATTGTCTTAGTTGTACATTTTGATGATATTGTATTATAGGAAATGATCAAGAAGGAATCAGTCATTTGAAAAGGCACCTAAAACAATATGTTCAGGCAAAGGATTTATACCAGCTAAGGTATTTTCTAAAAATTGAAATGACCAGATCAAAGCATGGCATGAGCTTGTCACAAAGAAAGTATGTGATTGGTTTGTTGATTGTGACTAGAGCGATAGGGGCTAAATCAATCAATACTCCTATGGATTCAAATACAAGACTATTGGCTGATAAGGGGGAGTTATTTGAGGATCTAAGAAGGTACAATAGACTGGGAGGCAGGTTGATTTATTTGACCATTACTAGGCCTGATATAGCATTGGAAAGAACTGTAGCGAGTCGGTTTATGTACTTCAAGAAATCCTCAATGGCATGCTCTTCATAGAATTTTGAGCTACCTAAAGGGAGCTCCAGGTAGAGGTCTGATTTACAAATCAAATATCCATTTGACCATTAGGGATTTACTCAAATGCTGATTGGCGTGCTCTCCATCTAACATGCAGTCTTCTGGAGGTTATTGTGCATTTATCATGGAGAAGTAAGAAATAAAATGTTGTGGCTAGATTAAGTGCAAATGCCGAATATAGAGCAATGACATATACTACATGTGCATTGATGTGACTAAAGGCAGATGCAAGAGATGGGGTTTACTATTCATGAGCTTATGAAGATATATTGTAATAATAAAGATGCAACTTGTATAGCCAGCAATCCAATGTTTCATGAGAGAACTAAACATATCGAAATAGATTGTCATTTTATTCGAGAGAAACTCACTAGTAAGCAAATGTCTACTCCATATGTGAAATTTAAGGATCAGTTGGCAGACCTCTGGACCAAAGCTCTTGGTCATAATCTGTTTTAAACAATTTGTTCCAAGTTGGGCATAGTTGGTATCTATGCTCCAGCTTGAGGGGGAGTGTTAAAAGTCATTTTTCTAATTCTTTTTTCTTGTTTACTTTGAAGTCAATGGGACCTATATGTCCTATTTCGGTTTATATGGGGAGTTTTACCCTTTCACTATTTTTTATTTATGTAAAATTGGTGTGAGAGGTATGCGAGACTCATTTGAGACTCTCATGTCACTCTCCCTCTTTATTTATCTCTCTCTCCCTTCTCTGACAAGCACAAAATAAAGAAAGAAAAGAACAACATATATATAACAAATACACAAATAGTAGCAAAAATAAATATCTCAAGGTTTGGAGGTTCTAACCCTGTGAGATTGTGAGAGGAAGATCAATGTCAGTGTTCGCTGAGCACATGGGCTCTTGATTGGAAACTCTATTTAACGATAACAAAAAGAAGAGGAACCTCCTTCGGAAGTCAATCAAATACAAGTTTAGAGAGAGAGAGAGAGGGAACTTGATGAGTTGCAGGCTGATGAGAGAGAAACTTAATGAGAGAGAGAACCTGATGAGTTGTAGGCTGATGAGAGAGAGAGAACCTGATGAGTTGCTGGCTGAAAGGGGGCCTCTGTGTGTGTGTGTGTGAGAGAGAGAGAGTAGAGTTGGAGAGAGGTTGGATGGACATGCTGAGTTAGAGGAACTTGGGGTGAGGCCCTCACAATGTGAAGCGAAAAATATTTCGTTCTAAAAAATTTGAATCCTCATATTCTTTTGTATGGGGGATTGGTGCTAAAGTGAAAGATTTTTGGATGAGACAGAAATATGATGTTACCAAACTGCTACCCTCTCGATCTCAATGTTTTCCCGTCAAATCCAAAAAAATCTCAAAATTCAGTACATCCAAACTGACCCTAATACTTCTTTCCTATAAGTAGAACCCTCAGAATTATCTGTAGTTAGATTAGGAGTTTTTTTTTCTTTTTCCCTCTGGAGTTCAAGTATGCCCAGATTAGGCTTTGGAAACTGCTTTAAATAGATTTGGAGGTCATTGGCAAAAGAATCAGGTCTTGTTAATTAAATTTTGAGTTTTCAATTGTTATGAGTTTCTACTTTTAGAGGAGAGATTCCTTAACTTCTTTGTAGAAAGAATCTACAATTCTAGCAGAGATTTGAGAGTCTGCCCAAGGGTTAGAACCCCTCTAATTTGGTTGAAGATATTCCTGGAACCCTAGCTTTTGGAGTGGAGATTCTCCCCACATGTACTCGGGTCTGTTTTCCTTATGTGGTAGTGGCACATCCCATCTTAGATTCTCCACAACCAAATTCCTTCCTCATTCAAACCCTTCCTCAACCCTAGCCATACCTCTCCAAAGTATACTAGCTCAAAAAGCTACCTTAACCATATACCTACTCTTTGTAGCCTTCAAACTTAAGTTTAAACCCTAAATTTACCCTATTCAACCCTCAAATCCATGTCATCATCCTCCTATCCAACTGGACCTGCTAAATTCCAGTAAGCCCTTCAGAAACCCTTAAACCTATCATAAACCTTTTCCTAACTCAATCAAACCAATCCTAATTGTAGTTCTACTTCATGTGGACATTGAATTGACCTGTTGTAACCCAATAAGAAAACCTTCATAAGGCCCAGAACCCTGCTGTCCTTTTCGTTGTAGAAACCTAAAAAGTTCGAGAATTCTTACTCATAACTTGAATAGAATTATTTATTGTACCGAAACCATTTCTTTCTGCATCCACCTCGTATGTCACTCGTGTAGGAGCCATGTAACCCTCATTCTTACATCACTTTGACTTGGTCAAAACATACCAATTCTTAAGGGTGTCTTTTTTCACTTAAGGTTAGAAATTTTGTTTGGGGGTCATGAACCACTCCATGAGGCTTCTGGCAAATCAACTTGTCAAACACCCAACCTGTTTTTATCTCAGCTTATCCAGCAGACTAGGAAAGCTGCTTTGATATATTCTGGCACAAATCATGTTATGAGAAAATAAAATGGATATTCTACACTTCATGATTAACGCATGAGACATGTATCAATCTGCTTGGACAAGTAGGCAAAATGCTAGTGAAGCTAGTGTTTTTCACTCTTTCCTGGGATGATACCCTATGAGGAAGTGGAAGAGTTCTCACCCCTCAGAGCCCTTCTATAACATGCACAGTTATAAATGGAGCTTCATAAAGAGAATGATGGGATCCCCTTTCGAACGTCAACAGTCTTTGTATAAAAGCCTGTGAATAGATGTGGAGTCCTCTATTAGAGCATGCTTCTTTTTAAGTATGGGAATATTAATTGAGGAACAAAAAGAGAGTAAAAGTGAGAGGTCTTACCCTAGCATTAGGTGACATTTGGTCATATCCCCTCAGTCATCTAAAAGTAGAGAAAGGTGGTACAGCCAAGGAGAATTGGGGTGTGTTCTATCATGCTTAGAGCACTGCAGGATCGTGGTCTGCAAGTGAAGAGCACGAGTTTCTTTATGTGGTGCTATGGGGTAATATTTGTGGTTGATTTCTTGCTTCCATCTTCTAGGGTATGATTCTCACTTTGTATCCCTTGTGTTTCCTCTCCCCTTTTCTGGTTTGTGTTCTGTGGTCTCTAAGGTTTATGATCCTTGTGTTTTCTCTGTCCATTTCTGGTTTGTGCTTCGTTGTTTCTAAGGTTTATTGCTTGAATTTGGTTTATTGTATTCTTCCCTCAGAAGTTCGTTCAACATTATAGGGGACCAGAACTAATTTAGCATTTTTAACCATCTCATATTATTTGACTGTGTAACTCGGAAGCAGATGGCTGTGTTGCTAGATGAGGGATAGTAATATAAGTGCAAGGGATATTTTGGTCTCCCTTCTGGGTTATGTTTCGGAAAATTCTATCAGTAAACCATATTTGCATTCAAAATATATTATCTGTATGATCCTTTTTTGCAACTTTTCAGATCAACTTGGAATGTTCTGTTTGTGCAAGATTTTTACATTTTCCTTATCACCTTCATAGAAAGGGAAATCATCATTCTTTTGTTTTTCTTACTTCTTTTTTGTGTGTGTGAAGGCATAAATAACGAGTGGCTCCTAATCTCCCACCATTGTATTTCACTATGAACATTAATGCATCTATCTTGTCATATTTTCTTGTGCTTCATGCTTAGTTATTGGTTTGTTTTGGAGGTTCTTACATTGATATGTGACTAATTCAGGTGGAACCAGCTACCCTCGTTCCATTGGCACATGGGTGCAAACAAGTTTTTCTTGTACGTTTTTTTCACTAGTCTTTTGTGATGTTTTGGTTTGAACTTCTGATATATTTTGTGTGATAAATATTTAACCACATAATTATATGGTACTCCTAGATTCATGTGTTGAATCATTCTCGTGGACTTTAGGTAAAGACATAGTTGTGGGAACAGAAGTTGCGGCATGGGGTTGTCCTCTGCCTAAAGTTCCCTATCTCAAGACTCAAGAGTGCATGAAATCGTTTGACTGATGTACCTGTAGAATATACATATTAGGAATTGTATAGTAAATAGGATGAAATTGTAAAAATTTAAAAAACAAAATGATTCATTCTTTAATATATTGTGTACACATTCCAATGGGAATTTCATAGTGAGAGTCCTAGAAAAGAAAAGATTGTAGGGCCATGACAGGAAAGGGAACTGAATTTATCCTTACACCACCATAGCCTTTTTATGGTGTTCATAAAACCTTGAGATCTATCTCTGAATCAACACACATGCGGATGTGCACATACACACTATTATAGTATAACAGGTGGCTATATTCATCTTTATAGTTGACAATTTATCTAATCATATATCAATCATCCAAAAGAATTAGTCATCTATCTAATGACTATAGATCACGAACCATTGTTAAATGGGATCTGGATACCCATATAATCAGGAACAAGCTCCCAAGGAGGATCAGCTCATGGAACCATGTTCCTAGAGCAGGCCCTGCCCCTAGGCAAGGCAATCTGTGTAACTATGGGTAAAGGTGCTAAAAGAAATGCAAAGTTGTAGCAGAATATAGTGTATGCTATATATAATGGAAAAATGACAAGCAATATTGTCAGTATCAGTTTCTGGTCACACATGCATTTGATCAACAAGCATATGGAAAACTTCATCTTATACTTTGGGTGACAAATCTGTTCTATCTTCTAAATGTCATAATTTGTGCATTTCTCCATTGCACAAAACAATCAGGGGCCTTAAAATTTTTTTTATTTTGAAGAACTCACAATTTTCCACATACACTACGCACCTTTGATCTCTCCATGTAAAGCCAATTCCATAAAAAAGGGATTCTCTCCAACTTAAATCCCCATCCAGGTTTATCAAATTATCTATCGACCACTTAAATCTAATCCAAGACTCCAGAAAGAAAGGGATCCTCTCTCTCATTACTCCCCCGGAAAAAAAATCCCTTCCAATACACTAGTGCTCTCTCTCTCCCCCCTTGCAATGCACGGGCTATACACTAGTGCTTTCGATTTAACTCTACATGTGCTCTGAAACGTATTCGCCGGTCTCTGATTCCCATCTTTCATTTGTCAATATTATATGGTTAAATTAATAGTATTCTTTCCAGTTAAGGCATGTACTTATTCTCATGATGTTGAAATTTAGGTTGGCGATCCAATCCAATTGCCAGCTACAGTAATATCCACAACAGCTAAGAAACATGGGTAAGCATTTATGCCTTCTCGGACATGTATTAATTTAGCCTTGCCCTTGACATTTTATCATGTTTCTCATTCATCAGGTATGACATGAGCTTGTTTGAAAGATTTCAGAAAGCTGGCTATCCTGTTCATATGCTGAAAACCCAGTACCGTATGCATCCTGAGGTTGAAACAGCTTTCTGTTTCTAGACTTACACATGCACTTGTCTTTTTAAGATTCTAAATTCGTTACTTGCTTGAGATTCATGCATCCGAGGGTTGAAATGGATTTTTCTTTCTAGACTTGCTAATGCATGTGCCTTTTTTAATGATAATTCTACATTCATTATTGCTTGACATTCAACTTTGTTCTGGGATATGTATATTATAATCCAATGTACTGTGGAGAAAGCATTGTCCACTTGCTCATCAAAATCCATTGGAATGGTGAGCAGTGATGAAGACCAGGTGGAAGGACATTACCCCAATGGTGGGCCCTTCCATCTCCGTCACCATCGATCATTTCAAAGGACAATGGTGACCCGATGGAATATGTTTTCTCCATAAACTGTTGGAGTATAGCATAGCCCTCCTTTTATGAACTCCTCCTTTGCAGATAAGGAATTTTCCTTCAAAAGAGTTTTACTCTCAAGAGTTGGATGATGGACCTGATATGGAGGAACGGACAACACGCAAGTGGCATGACTACTTTTGCTTTGGACCATTCAGTTTCTTTCATATAGATGGAGTTGAATCCCAACCTTTAGGAAGTGGTTCCCGGATAAATGTAGATGAAGTTGAGTTCATACTCCTCTTGTATCATGAATTAGTGAGCAGATATTCTGTGCTTAAATCAAGTTCCCAGATGGCTGTTATATCTCCTTATCGACATCAAGTGAAACTTCTCCGTGAACGTTTTCGAGAGACCTTTGGGTCACAATCAGATCAATTAGTTGATATAAACACTATTGATGGATTTCAGGTGACATATCCTTATCTCTGGGTCCCAACACTGAACCATTTTTATTCTACAGTTATGGGAGACCAATTTCTTTTCTCCTTTACAGGGACGAGAAAAGGATGTTGTAATTTTTTCTTGTGTTCGGTCAAATGTTGAAAAAGGCATCGGATTTGTTGCTGATTACCGTCGTATGAATGTTGGAATTACAAGAGCAAGATCATCAATCCTGGTTAGCTCATATTGTAATATTTTACTATTACCATCACTTTAAATCGAGCCTGTTGTTCTGAAAGCTGACGGTATCACCCAGTCAAAAGTGTTTGGACTAGGATTTCGGCGCAAAACCGGAGTGGTTAAAGAGAACTGATTTTTTTTCCTGAAATCTGTACACCCCTGTGCCTTGTTTAACCATGTCAAACTGGGTCGAACCAGTTTGTTCTTATAATTTTTCTTTGTTTTTCCTTAATTTATTTTACCATTCAAACCCTGGATTGAAAGAACCAATCCGTTCTCTTGTCCAAGTTCTAATTTGGTTTTTACATCATTGGCTTTTCCTTCTCGTATTTGTCAGTTTAATAATAAAGATTCCATATGCACTTAGGTGGTGGGTTCTGCTTCAGCTTTGATACAGGATGAACATTGGAGAAACCTTATAATCAGTGCGAAAGACCGAGAACGCTTGTTTCAGGTATGTACTGTAATTGTCATAGGGGTGCTGAACTTTGTCTAATTTCTGTATGAATGTGATTTTTGTGTTGTGTACTATGAACTGCAAATATATCTATGTTGTATAAAGTGGATTATAGTGTATAAAGTATCCATCATTAGACTTAGATTTCAAGCGCTTGAGCTATGGACATTAGAACATCTTTTTTTATTAATACTCTATAACTATTCTATGCATAGGAAATTATGTGAAACAAATAATTAGTAGGAATTGTCCAACCTGAGAAGTCCTATTTATGTTAAATAAACAGCAAGAGAGCACCAAAAAAAAATAGGAGGCACAATGTGCAAGGGGATGCATGAGATTCAGGAATTGGGCATGACTACTTAAGAATAAAAAATGATAATGATATTCAACTGTTTGACAGTTTTAAGTTTTATCTGAAGATGGTATATATTAAGGTTTGCTCCATTTCCATTGTTGGCATTCATTATGTAATTTTAGTGTACACATACTTAAAGCAAATGATAAGAATACATTGGTGTTGTTGGCATTCATTATGTGATTTTAGTGTACACGTACTTAAAGCATATAATAAGAATACATTGGTGAATTCTCTTCCCCTTTTCTAACCAAAAAGCAAATGTCATGAGTAATTTGTAGTGGTAGTGACTTTTGATATTGTTTTTTGTTTGTTATTATGAATTTAAGCTGAAGATGATGATGATGAGTTCGACAGTTTCCATTTTGAAAAAATTACAAAAACCCTCAAAATCAGACTCTTTCTAGACAACTTCCCCCCAATCAAAGTTTTTTTAGCAACTTTTACCCCAATTTTCACTTTCCGAGCAAATCCCCAAGTCGAAAGTCATATTTGTTTACGAAAATGCCCATACCCGTACAGTTAGATATTAACGTGGAAAGCATGCGGTCCGGCACAAAATAAGGGTGGTCCGGCACTTTGGGCTTCTAGAAAATGTGGGTCCAGCACAAAATAGGGGCAGTCTGGCACTTTGGGCTTCTGGAAAGTGTGGATCCGGCACAAAATAGGGGAGGTTCGGCACTTTGGGCTTCTTGAAAGCATGCGGTCCAGCACAAAATAGGGGCGGTCAGGCACTTTGGGCTTCTAGAAAGCATGCGGTCCGACACAAAATAGGGTCGGTCCAGAACTTTGGGCTTCTAGAATGCATGCAACACAAAATAGGGGCCGTTCGGCACTTTGGGCTTCTGGAAAGCATGCGGTTCGGCACAAAATAGGGGCGGTCCGGCACTTTGAACTTCTGGAAAGCATGTGGTCGGGCACAATATAAGTGCGGTTTGGCACTTTGGCTCCGGATTGTTAGGGGGTCAGGCAGTTGTTGCATAGGGTCAGGCACTTTGGTAGTGAGCGATTCCACATCAATGTCTGGCTGTACAGGTATGGGCATTTTCGTCAAAAAAATATGACTTTTTGACTTGGGGGGTTATTTGCTATGAAAGTTAAATTTGGAGAAAGAGTTTCTAAAAAGAAAAACTTCGTTGGGGGGGGGGGGTTGTCTAGAAAGTCTCATTTTGTGGGATTTTTGTAATTTTCCCTTCCATTTTCATGTAGTTACCCCTAGCTATACTTAGTTAATGTCCTTCATCAGAACAGATGGGCCTACTTGCCTGCATTCATATTTCTTGGTTGTAATCGCAGTGGCACATTTTACCTTGCTTTAGATCAAAACCATGACCAATTTCTGGTCATCTTTGTTGGACATTGACTTGTCAAAGTTCTGATATTAATGAAAAGAAATGAACTAAATATTGATGCTTTTTCTTTTTTAAAATCAAATTACTGAACTTTTATTAGAAAATGAGAACAATGCACATGTCAGAGAAAGCAACAAGAAGAAAAATAAGACTGAAAAACTGTCAATGGACAATGTTCCACTAGAACATGCTTCCTTTACCATTTTATCTGCCTCATTTATTTCTCTGTAGACATGTTCGAATGAAACCATCAGCCTGCAAATGTCAAGAATTTCAACCCAAGGATATCTCAAGTGCCATGGAGCTCATTGTTCTTTCTTTCAGCACTTGATAGAATTTAAGGAATCACTCTCAACAATAACCACACTTCCTAAAACTCTGATTGCATAGTCTTCAAGGCCTGCAACAGCGCTTTCATTTCATCTTCATTGACTGTAGCCAAACTGCTAGGACCTGAATATGTGACTAAAATGTTCCCCCCATGACCTGTAATCAAACCTCCAATACCTGCTATTCTGGGTTTACCAAAGGAGCTCCCATCATCTTTAGTTTAATAGCACCAAAAGGCGGTGGCTACTCTCATTTTACACACTCCCAGCTTCACCTTCTAGATTATTTAGGAAATCTACTTGTTGACAAGCACTACACTCTTTTGTCACTCTTCTTACTCAAAGAATCCAAAACCCTGCTTTTAACTCTTTTTACTTGTACAACCACACCATGAATTACTCATCTATTCTTGTATTTCAACATCTCCCACAAAATAGCTTCCTTGAAAGCCTTCCAAATCAACTTACCAACTTTCAGGAGATTAGGAATACTTAGGTGGTCAATAACATCAGTAGCATCTCTGTAAAGCAAACAGCAGCTGGACTGCCCCCTTCCGAAATGCCCAGATCCAAATCTCATACAAACATCAGAAATAGATGGTCCCCAGACTCATCCCTTTTACAAAACATTCACAAGATCTTGTGCCCTTATCCTAAGAAGAAGCATAAGATTCTTGTCAAGGGAAACAATCGACATGAATGCGTGAATTTTGTGTGGTATCAGCCATTTCCAAACATTTTCGCAATCTTTGGCAGAGACCATCTATTCCTATCATGGAACAACCTCAAATTAGAGATTTTATAGTAAACATACCTTTCTTTTCTCCCTTCCCAGGCTAAAAGTGCTTTAGTTCTTGCATTGACACAACCAATTGAGATATGGCTTCATTTGGAACTCTATCATATCAACATCTGATGTTCCAAATTCTTTGGTTCCCTTCTCCGGAAACCCCTCATTGATCTTTAGAAATTGATGGTCAACCCTTCAAAACAGGTCTGGGAATTGAAACTACAAAAGAACTGCACCTAACCATTTGTGCTACCAAAACAATGTTCTGTCCCCATTTCCAATAATGGAAAAGTTTTTGGTGAGTCGGCCGACTCACACTATTTTTGTGCAGTCTCCCTACAAAGTATATCTCAAAGATGTATTTTTAATCCAAAATTTTAGAGTTCAATAATCTCAACCGTGACAAAAAAAACTCCAAATGCTATTTTTTGAATTCCTTTCTTCACCATCCATCTTTAACTTTAGTGGATGTAACATTTTTTGTCATCTATCTTAGAGATAGGCTTAGATAGACAAGGTACCACATAGTAATAGGTGAGTCAGCCGACACACCAAAACCGTGTCCTCCAATTATAGTACTGATAGTTCTTTCAAGGAAGGCTTTGCAATAATGAATACCCGTCTCCACCACTGATTTTCATCATGTGTACTTCTCCACCACCATTTAGTCTACAATGTTTTATTCATTATCATCAACTTTTTTATACCCAATCTCCCTTTCTTCTTTGGAGTACAAACTTCATCTCATCCTACTAAATGAAAATTTCGCCTCTCCTCGTGTCCACCTTATAAGAATATTATCAAAGTCTCTAATCTCCTTAGTATAGCATTAAGCATTATAAGAAGAGACATAATAAATGGGGACGTTCTCTAGACACCCTAAACCCCAAAAACAAAATGCACCAATTCCATGTCTTTAAGAATGATTCTAAAAGCTTCAGCCACCATAGTAAACAGAAAAGCAGAGAGAGGATCTCCTTGTCTAATTACCCTATTAGCCTTAAAGAAACCTTTTGGTGTGGCATTTATTAGGATAGAGAAGTGCATACTAGAAAGGCATCCCAATCCATCCGTGCCATTTTTGCCCACCCCATAAGGTATGTGATATAAAGAACATCTTAATCTACCTCATTATATGCCTTTTCCAGATCTAGTTTTCAAAATAAACCTGGTCATTTAGCTAAATACATTCTTGAGCAATGAGAATGCCATCGGTGATCAATCTACCATAAATAAATGTTGATTGCTACCCTGAGATGACTAAAGGAGGAACATCCCTTAACCATCTGCTACTATCTTGGATATGATTCTGTATAGGCTGTCTGGCAAAGTAATAGGGTAGCTATCGTTAAGGCTTACAATCACAGTTTTTTTTTTTTTGGATTAAAGCAATGTATGTAGAGTTAATGCACTCATCTTACATAAAAATTCCTCCACCATTAAAATGATATCTTATTTACCAACACACCGAAATCTTTCCAAGAATATCAATGGACATCCATCAGGTCCTGGAGCATGGTCACCTGCAAGGCTAAAAACTGCATCCCTCACTAAAAAAATGTTCAAGATCTCTAGCTATTTCTTGAGGAAGGACCTTAAGAGGAACTTTTTACAGGTTTGTTTTCAGTCTTGATTCAGCAGTGAAGGCTTCTTTAAAGAAATCAATGAAAGCTTTCTCCAAACCTTCCACATCACCATCCTCTACAGCAAAAACTTGCATAACATTAGCAATAGAGTGGAATAAATTTGTGTTCAAATCCTTCAAACATTTGATTCTAACATCTCCACTCAGGCACTATGTAAAGCATTATAATTCTCCATCCTCTCTATAGATTGTTGTTCATTGAGCATTACATCTTGTTATATTTCATCCAGCTCCTGGCTTCTCCTGAGAAGTAAATTCAATTCTGTTCCTCACATTAAAGTGAATCTCTCTCTTCCTCTCAACCAACTTTTGCTTCAAATAAAGTAACATCTTTGAAATCCTAAAACCATACCTCCCGTTATTAACGGTATTAGAACTGTATATTTAATTATCTCAGCCACCTGTCTTTCCTCCAGATGACATATCTCAAATATGAAAGGCTGAGGTCCAAATTGAGCATTTTGAGTTCGTAATACAATTGGTACATGATATATTTCAAAAAAAATACAATTGGTATATGATCTGAAGACTTTTTGGTAGAGCTTTTAGTAAAAACCAAAGAAAATGAAAATTTCCAAGAACGGGAAATCAGAAATCTGTCAAGTTTCAACATTAACAGATGCTGGGTGCTATTGTTAGACTAGTCTCATGGTTCAAAATCATTGAAGGATCTCCTGCAACTATTCAATCTATGCATATTATTTGCTTTTTCTGGCCAACTAGTGATGTTATAATCCCCATCAACACAAGGTAATCTATCCACTCATTACATTAGGTGGTTCCATCAGAAAACTCCTTAAAGAAGGTAAATGAGCGCCCCCCACATTAACCAACAGCCACTTAAAACCAGTTTGAGGACCTTCAAAAACAGCATCAACAAATCTGTCACAATAACCAAAATCTACTTCTTTTCAGGAGAGTTGGATCCCATAGACCATAAACCACCCGATAGACCATCTGCGTCTTTACCAAAGAACTGTACCAATCCTCTTCCCCAAACAGACCTTGAACACTGTAAGTTCGGGGCTGGAAGTTTGGTTTCTTGAAGCATGACAACCACCGGTTTCTCTTTCTTACAAACAAAACTTTTTTTTTTCCTTCTGCCTTCGCCCAAACCCTTAAAATTCCAGCATAGAATCTTGAATCTTCATATCCATTTAAACGACTCCCCTTGCATGGCAGTAACCACTTGACCTGCAGGCATGGAAGTAGTGGTTTCAGATAATCCATTACCATCAGAAATTGTCATGACCAGTGTTTGAAAAAACAGATCGGTGACTCGAATCGGTCACACCCATACCTATGTTGGATTAGAGAATTGGTGGATCGGATTGGAGAATCGGAGGAATCGGCAATTTTTGTCCCAAAAGTTTTTCAAAAAATCACTATAAATTTCTAAAAGTAGTGTTCTTTTAGTTTCTAAAAAAAATTAGGAGTGTTGCATTATGTACTTCTGTTACTTTGTAAAAATAGGTGAATATAGAGAGTTTGAGACATCATTTTCTTGTCTAGATGTTTGTTGTGCTAACCATTCATTCATATCATTGACATTAATTTCAATGTTATGACATTAGAAAAATCTTCAAATCATATTTTTCCCATAAAAAAAGAAAATAACAATATTAAGAATTTTTTAAAAGACCATTACAATTTTTTTAAAATCTAGTTTTTTTTAGGTTTTAGAAAAATAATGGGATTGCATTATAGTTTCGTAGTGTATGTTATCCATTATATTTATTTTATATTCGAATAAAATATGGAATGCAACTCATTGCAATAAAATGAATCCCTCTGACTCAAATTTAGAGTGAAAAAAAAAAGGAAGTGTATAATAGCTTTGGACCTTTTGATTAATAGAAAGAAAACAAAAGTATGAGCCTCAAAATAATTAAATCTAATACGTAATAAGTAGTATGGATAAAAATATAGAATTTAGAAACATGAATTTGCTATCATATTTTAATAAAATTAAAATAAATAAATTTATATTTACAATGTGGAATAATGGATAAAGCAACTTGATAATAAATTCTGAAGTGGGTGTATGAATTAAAGGTGCCCCATGAACTAATATTATTATTTTTTAAATATCCCATGAGCTATTATTTTTTTTCTTTTAAAATATCCAATAAACTAGTATTATTTTTTACTTTTTAAATATACCATAAACTAGTATTATTTTTAGTTTTTAAATATCCCTATGAGCTAGTATTACTTACCTTATAATTTAGGCGTTGGAGTTTATTTACTGCAACAAGTGTTTCTAATTTTAGATTCTCAATTTATTGAATGATGTGGGACAATTTATACTGGAGAAAGAGATAGGCAAATTAGAATAGTACTGACGCTTTCAATGGAAAACTCAAGCATAATGGAGGAGAAATAGTCGGGTTTTACTATTCGGGAGAAAGGGATAAGGAAACATTATCCCACATCGAAGATTTGTAGGCATGAGACTTGGTATAAAATGTCATAACCCAATGGTGCAAGTAAAAAACATCACGCGAGAGGTAAGTTGTGTCCAGCTTTAGCTGGACGTAAGCCACGTGTGTCAATACGGATGTCTTGGAGCAAAATTGGTGGTGCTACACAGCACGTGGTTTTTTAACTAAAAAAAAGTCTAAGTCAAAAGGTGGAAAATGTGATGCTAGAATCAGTTTGTGATGTCATGATCAATGATGTGTCCAATTGGTGACATCACGATACCGGTTCGTGATGTCATCAAACGATTTCTGGAAAAAAAAAACAACCGGATCCCATTTTATGGCCAGATCCGGAATGGCCCAATTGATACCCGATCCGGATCGGGTCACCAATTGTTTAAACCTTGGTCATGACTAATTTCCATCACAATGCTTCTTAGCAATCTTAATCCTCTTACTCGTTTTTTCGGAACTTCATGCTCTTAGCCTTTGCATTCATTGTCTAATCCCCATTCCCCTTCTTTTACTACCCTTCTTCTTGATGTTTTTTCTTGATGGCTAGCACCACATTGATCGAAGGTTCATCTAGCCCTACACCCATGATATCGAGCACCTCTCCATATTCTTCCACAGGATCAATCTGTTAATTAATGGTATCACCACTGTCACCCTACTCGTCCACTTCAGATACATGATGTCCAACTCCATAATAGTGAATCAAAGCAAGCTCCCCATTACTTCCATTTATCAGGGGATTAGCATTCAAAGGAGCTAAAACTGGGGATCGCCCAAATCCCCCATCTCTTCAGCAACAGTAGCACTCCATCCTACCTCCCAAACTGATCCCTCTGGTGGTTGCCATAAAAGACCAGCTGGGGCTACCAGAGCCATGGCGTTGTTAAGGTAGTTGCCATTTCTACAACTTCGTTGTCAAGGACTATAACAGGCAATCCTTGCTCTTCTAGCGGTGCTCTGATTTTTGGGGAAGTGTCTTTCTTCCTTGTCGCGGTGCAGAAGAACAGGAAGTTCACTGGGATTCTACCTACAAAATCACAAGAACAGTCAGAGGCAAAAGCTCTACAAAGCAATGGCTCTTGAGAAGTCAAAGATAAACAGAGGGAATTAAAACACGTAGAGGTCAGCTGCTTATATATCAAATCCTTACCTCTTCCAAGAGGAATATGAAAGATGTCATTGGCTCCGCCTTTTCACAGCTTTCCAAACTTCTGAAATTACCAATATCCTCTTCATCCATGCAATCTACAAGGCAAGCATGTATAATCGCTGTACAATTCATATACATATTCCAAGATATCTTGTTGTCATGGGTGCCCTAATGTACTGGCAAACATCAGCTCGTTGAACGAAGTGACCTCCATTAATCCCTCAGACAAACAACCTTTCTCCATGTGCACCTTGGAGACCTTAACCTCACCTTGCAAAAGACTTAAATTCTTCAAAGATTGAGGAGCATTCTTAGAAACTGATTGATAAGAATTGGTAACTGAAGATTGCCCCGTTGAATCAGTTTTATAATTTAATAAATTTTTAATGAGCCGTTAGATTAACGTCTTTGCGACCATCTGATGTGGAGGAACCGGGCCTTGTAATTGAATCATTCAGCACTTGATGTGGCCACCTTCATGCTGATGTGTCACCGTCCCTGTAAGTTGAACATTCTTCTTGCGTCAATTGTTACAGGAGCAGACGTCCAGAGCTTGTCTTCTTTATACTGATGCTTATGATCTCGGTTAGTTAAGGACTAGTCCAACCTTCATTATTATTCTTAACCTGGTAAAAACTGCTCAACATGCTTCTTTACCATGACTATTTTCACCTATTTTACTACAAATCTGTATCTGATCTAGCACAGTTCCTGGTGATATCGCTAGAAATTTATCCTCTTTGGCCTTCAACAATATTGCAGCAGGAATATTGACATATGATAAGTTTTTTATCTTTAACTGCACAAAATATAACGATCCCCCTTAGCTGACTTCCAGTGGATATTGGCATATGCCGACCTCTATTTCTAATCTCCTTGAAAACTGATTAAGTGGACCGTAGATGGAGACTCTTGCCAGTCCTTTTTACGATTGTTAGTGATCCAAAGTTTGGGCATTGTTCAAGCTCAGTTCGCATAGGTAGAAGACTTGGTTTGGCCTGGCTCGTTACTTCAACAAGCTCATAAAAGAGCCAAATGAAGCCATAAACAAGCCGAGCACAACCTCATAATCAAGCCAGACCCATAAGCAATCTAAGCAAAAGAAAAAAATAATCAAATTAAATTTGAGATAAGGTCGATAAAGTATAACATTATATTTTTTATCTCCCAATTAGTGGAAGTTAACATGCCTAGTCCATTGTTTATCTTTGTGGTGATCTTGAGGAACTTTTTGCAGGTTTCAAAGCCTTATTCAGAGTTTTTCACCGAGGAAAATTTGAAGACCATGATAGTTGTAGAAAATAAATTAGAAGAGCAAGACGGCATGCAGCCTTCGAGTATATATGATGAATTATTGATGGGTGGTCAAGGAACCGCGGAAGTTGAAGAGGCGCATGATATGGATGCTGAACCTTTCGGTTATGATGGGGGCTATGATGAAGACTGAAAACATTTTTTGGTCTCTCTCTCTTTCTTTATTATTATTATTGTTATTTATTTATTTATCTGAGTTGGGTATTTTTAGTAACGGAATCCTAAAAAAAAAAAAATCTAATAATGGATTCTCATTTTAATGGTCATGCTCAAGGAAGTTTATATTTCTATTTTGTATTTTACTTAGGAAAATACTTGAAAATATTTACGAGTCAATTTGTACAGTATTTCATTCTTAGCTCATCATTATTTAAAAATAGTTTTTTAATTCTAATAAATTTTTTATAAATTATATTAACCTCAATTTTTTAGCATATGCATGCTATAGTAAGGTTTGCTTAAATAAAATATAAAAAACAACTCAAGTTATAAAAATGATGAAATTACCTCTATGAATACTTAGAAGTATTTTGATTATTTTATTTTTTAGAATTATATTTTTGGAAATGATCTTGTGTGTTTTGTATACATGGAGTTAAAGGGTGTACTTACGCTTCGGATTGGCACGCTCCATTATTTTTTGGGTGAGGTTTGTATAAGGTGTCAACCTTAGCCGATCACTGAAAGGTGCACATTAAAATCTGGCTAAAAGTTGTATTTTCAATGCCAAAACATTCATCATGGCCAAAGAGTTTATTTTTCATATCTATTATGAAATTGAAAGCTCCAAAAATGGTATAGATCTAATAGATCTATGAACACTTGAAAATCTTATGGAAATATTAAAAATGAATAAGCTAGATAATGTATTACAAGATGTACTATTTTTAAGATTTAAAAATTATTTTTTCTTTTATATCCATACATATCAAGGTCAAGATAATCAATAGACAATTCGAGATTTTTTCAATGACAAAACAACATTCTTTGATAGGGTTACCTTTTAGCCTTTACTTTCCCCTTTCTCTCTCTCCCTAGTTAAAAGTCTCTTCAGTTTTGGGTGAAACACAAAATATAAGATTTTTTATGTCATTCCCATTATATTTTTTATATTTTATTTTTTATGAGATATACTTAAAAGGGTGTGGTTTATAAGGTTGCAACCTTAAACAATCCAATTAAGAGGTACACCTCTATATTTTATCATAACATGTAATATTTATGTAAAAAATTATTAGGATTATTTTAGAATCTAATTTTATCTCTAATTATAAAAATTTAAACTTCAAAAATGGTTAAATGCATGTAGATATATAAATTTTTTTAGGTAATTCAGTGGTGACGATTAGTCTCAACCCATTTTTTCAAATCGTTAGTGTTTTTTGTTTGAATGCATTAGGTGAGAAATAGTGTTTTTTGTTTGAATGCATCGGAAAAAGTTTCGATCATGGAAAACACTCCAATTAACGGGAAATCTTTCAATTGATCGTTTTGACCTCGAGGTATATGAATATATATAATAAATAAATAAAATAAGATTTTGAGTTACGACCTCGACCTTTATAGAAGTGCATAATTTGTGCCATTTGGACAAAGCTTTAAATTTGTTTTTACACCATCATATAGTTTTTTACTCCAAAATTACATCTTCCTACAGAGTTTAGAAGTGCGCCTTTTATTGTTTAAGGTTAGTACCTTAAACTAATACATAAGATTACATGAGTGCTGAGATGTATTGCAGTGAGCTAGGTAGCTGAGGCTCAAGTCCAATAAAAGATGGAAAATTGTTTTAAGCTGGACCACATTTCTACAGTATACGGTCCCAAAGCATAAAATATCCATCTTAAAGATGTATATAAATAGGCGGTCCATCTAAAAACAAATAAAACTAACGGTCCAATTGTTTTTTTCATAAAATCATTTATTTTCTTTTTTAAATTTTATTATTATTATTATATTCATGATCTTCATGTTAGAGATTACTTGTCCTTAAAAATTGGGTCCAAAAATCGATCTCACCAAATAGATTTTTAAAAGTCGACTCATTTCTACATGGACTCGTAAAAACCCAATCCATAAAAGATTTCTTGCTCGTGATCTGACCTGCAGTTTCCTGGTCGTGGGACTTTAGGGCACCCTCGTTCCCAGACCACCCTCGTATTTATCGTTCTCTCTCTCCATGAGGACCCTGAATTGCTTTGTTGAAGCTTAGTGTATGAAAAAAATAATAATAATAATAATATTTATCGTTCTCTCTCTCCATGAGGACCCTGAATTGCTTTGTTGAAGCTTAGTGTATGAAAACAATAATAATAATAATAATATGGTGTCCATCCAGCAAGCAAAGCTCATCTAAAAAATGTGACATGCCTACAACAAAACTAAGAAGGATTAGCGGTCCCCAATGACCATATTGCACATTGTCTACCATGTTGGGAATATTTGCTTGACCCTGAAACTCTCAAATTGTCTTTACTTGTTACTAATATCACAACCAATATTTGGACTTCAAATCAACTCTTGCTACAAGAAGACTGTCCATTACATGAACCAGCCATCCCATGGTTTTAAGAGCTTTAAATAAATTTCCTCCTAGAAAAAATTGATTATAAACTACAATTTGATCCTTACACCATGTTGGGAGTACTCGCTGGACCCAGCAACTCTCAAAATTGTCTTTATTTGAACGTAATCTCGATCCAAGGAAAAATATTTGGACCCCAAATCAATTATCGGCTACGAGAAGACTGCCCAGTCCATCTGATCAGCTGTATTTTTTAGGATTTGGAGAGCTTAAAATAAATTTCTTCCAAGCCAAAACTGATTACAAGTGAATCAAAGACTTTCGAAATTTTCAAATCATAAGAGGCCCCCAACTAGGCTTTTTGCTCACATACCCAATCTACAATTTGATCTTGCTGGACTACCATAAACTAAGGAAGCATAGAATTTTAACACTCGAATGCAAGCAATACAAAAAGACAGCATTTTCCATCGCAAAACACATTCCAATGTGGTACTGGCTCTGATGACAAATCCCCCAAAAATTAATATCCATAACCCAAAGGAACAACTCTAAGACGATAACTCTATGTAACCTGCCCTTATTGAGAAGAAATAATTATCACCCCACAGGGGCCAAACGTAATTGTTCTTACAATTGCAGACTCTAAGAACTCATGAAACCATCACTTAATTTCTCTTGACCTTTTTGAAATTTGACGAGACATACATATATATATATATTATATATAACCAAAGAATAAATGGAACAACAACCAAATTAAAAATCAGAGCCCGTCAGCCATCTTTCTCTTTATCTACACAGGCCAAACCACTACCTGGTCAGCCTAAGAATCATCAACCCTTCTGCAAAAAATAGCTCGTCCACCACTCTTGTGGTCATGAAACCATAATTCTTCCCCATACGCTCACCTCTCTGACTTAATCGCAATCCAATCCACACACTTCCAACAAAGGCCCATCTGATTTGGCTAGGAAAGGATTGATCCGAACCCACAAGAGGGAGAAGATAGAGGCCAATAGGATGGACCACACCACAATGATGGTGGGTGTCCTGTTTTGTTTCCCCATCATACCCTTGAGGAAAGGGTAGAGATGAACAATTACCCAAAATGCAAAGAAGAGCTTCCCAAACAGTGGGCCCCACGACTCATAGCCATTGTTGATTGCATTGGCAAGGCCAGCTACTACCCCAATAATGTTAATTATGAGTATTGTCATGGGAGGTAAGAGAAGCCAAGTCCATTTAAAGAGGTAGAGATCAGAGAACTCCCCATCGTCTCCTCCTTTGGATGTAACAGTGAAGCTCGTGTCAACACCAGCAAGAACCTTGAGCGAACCTTGGATGAGGGCAAAAAGGTGAGACGAGACACCTCCAATCACCCAGAATTGTTCATTTCTCCACCATTCATCGATCCCCACATGACCCCACTGCATCTCTAGCACACCTGTAGCAGCTATACAGATGAAGAGGGCCATGAACACTATACTCGCATAGTTGCTAAGCTGAAAGACAGCAGAAAATCAGTTTTCAGATGGATAACAGTAAATAACATAATCCCAAACAGCTAAAAAGAGAAAAATATATAAACAGAACAAGCATCAAATCCCCAGTCAAGAGTCCCCCAAGTTAGTTTTTTGGTAAATATCACTAAAGAGATATATATACAGGGCAAACATCAGGGATGAATGAGTTCCCCGTCGAGTCCTATTCCACCCCCCAACTGCTAAAAAAATTTGGAAAAAATGACAAGGATACATGTTCAAGCATGTGTATGGAGGAGGGGAGAGATTCCCATTAAGATTAGATGAAAAGGGGTACAAAGCAACAATAAAGAAACAGAAAATTTGGGTTGCACATTTAAAAGGATCATACCTCAGGGATGATGAATTTCCCAGTGATAAGGCAAACTGCTGGTAACGTACAGTATGCGATCAAGGGAAGAGATGTAAATGGGTACACAACTGAGTTGACGTAAGAGAGACGCTCCAACCATTTCAAGCCACCATCATAACCATACCATATGGGGCAGTGTTTGCTCAAGAAGATCTCAACAGACCCAAGTGCCCAACGAAGAACTTGGTTGAGACGGTCTGAGAGGTTGATTGGAGCTGACCCCTTGAATGCTGGTCTTGAAGGTATGCAGTAAACAGACCTCCAACCATGGCAGTGCATCTTAAAGCCAGTAAGGATATCCTCAGTAACTGACCCGTATATCCAACCAACCTGTGGAGCCAAATGCCATGAGATAAGAGTGAGTCTTTTACTGATGATAGAAATAGAGGAAGAGGTAAAGTATGTTATATCCAAATGGAATATGGAAAACTGCAGTCTCATTATGTTATCACTGTTCAATGAAATTGACCATGATGGAAAGGGTTCATCTCCTGTCTTGGTGAGTTGCAACCATCAGTGCTCATCATTTCCTCATGATAGAATGGACAGGGTACAACCACTGTCATTTGATATACTATATCTTCATAATTTCCTCAAATGAAAACGTTAAATTGAATTTAAAAAGTGTAAGGGTGTAATCATGAAGAGAATATTACCTCCTTTCCCCACTCAGTTTTATCCTCGTAACCGCAGCTAATGACATGAATGGCTTCTTTCAAGAGTGACGCAGAGCTGACACTAGGGGGTATCCCACCATTTTCTTGGAGAGTAGATGCAATAAAAACAGGGGATTGCCCGAATTTTTTCTCAAACTTTTTCTGTGACATCAAGGACGACTTTTTGCTGTTGATTCCTGAAATAAAGAAAATATTTTGTCATGGACACAAGGATACAGGTGGAGAATCTACATAAATAAGTAGCAGTCCAGCATGGAACACTTTAGTCGATTGAACCATGAAAAACCACAGTATATTGTCCACCAAAATGGATAGTAATGAAGAGAGTGGACCCTCCCCAAAGATGACATCATCCTAATAGTGGGTCCCACAAAGCATCACTGTCCATTTCAATGGATGGTCATGAATCTCCGTAGCCCATTGAACTATATAGTACTTCCCCTCCCAGCATAACTTTTTGGGCCTTGACCCTCCTTTTGGGGCTGGCATTTGGCTAGAATTTCATACTAGTGACTGAATTTCCTAGACAATGGAAAAATCTCCTCCATCGAGTATGTCTAATATAGCAATCAATTGATAATATTGCATTAGTTTGCCAGCCACAATTTTTGCTCAATAGGGGAAGAATTTGAGGACATGCTCTCCAATAGTTTCCTCACAGAAATGGAAGTATCAGTATTATAATCATAGCCTATTTGTATGCATGACATTATTTTTTTCTAAAAGTGACCCACTAATATCTTACTAAAAATGATACTAAATATTTATTCTGACTCAACTTATCTAGCCAGATAAAATATCATAAACAATAAAATTTCTTGAGTGTACTGATAAATTACCAAGAGAAAAAGAATATGGGAGAGCTTTTAGTTGTCCTGCATCAATGGGTGAAGTCATAATAAAGACAATTCCTCATCCTGCTATATCTGGTTGTTGTACCAGGTTTTAGTTTGTTTTGCACCAGGTTTTAGTTTTGCATATGTTGATGGTGGAATTATTTTACATTTGAGGTCCATAATTTTTTTCATCAAGAGTGCGCTGTCTCCTGTCCTTCGCTGTATATGGCTTACACACAATGAACTTTATAAGGAATAAGCTTAGCCATAAAAGATATAAATATACCTTCAATCCCCTCCTCGATATCTTCCAAAGCATGTATCTGTGGAGAAGCCTCTCTTCGCTTTGTCTTCTTCTTCTCCTTCGGCTTCACCTTATTGTTTTTCCTCCTAGATCCACAGCATAAACAGCACCATTTTGGCCAACAGTTGCAAGTCTTTCCTGGGGGCTTTACCTTAAGAGGAGCATCATATCCACAGAGAGCTTGTCTTCTGAAAACACAGCCTGTTCCCACATAAATGGGGCCCTGAATCCCATCAAGCCCCTTCATGTTGATCTGTTGGGGAATAAATCATGAGCACCTTTCTTTGTCTCTTTTAATATATATAGCTTTTTTCTGTTTTTATTTTTGAAAATTTATTTAATCAAAGAAAACCCATAAAAGATTATCCAAATAAAAAAAAAAGAAAAAAAAAATAAAAAGAACTCACATCAAAAAACACAATGTTGCGGTTTGCATATCTGTCGTGCCTATCAATTCCATCAAACCTCTGAGGGAACTGCACGTAACAAACTTTCTTCCCCGAAGTTGGGTCCATCATGAAGCACATGGCCTCTCGAATGGCCTTGCTGTTATTTATATAATGATCACAATCCACGTTCAAAAGGTACGGAGCATTGGATATAATTGCTGAGACCCGAACCTTAAGTCAAACCCAAACAAGTCATTATTGTTAAAGCCACATCAGGAAAAAGGCTGCTAAAGAGTCGAGTCACTAATGCTTGAATATGTGAAAAGGGAGATGGGGTCCTACCAGAGCATTCATAGCACCTGCTTTCTTGTGGTGATCAAATCCAGGCCTCTTCTCACGTGAGACATAAACAAGTCGAGGTAGCTCATTGCCTTCGACATCACAAACTCCATTGTGGCCAAGGAAAACCTATTGTCCCAATCAGAATAAAAAGATTAGTGATCCTTCAAGCAGAAAACATAAAATTTTATAGAACATTTATCCATTTCCAATTATCTAACCATATACAATTACTCATCTGTTTATCAAATTTTAGTTAGTTCCCAAGCAAATCTAGACTTTATTTAAAAAGGGAAAATTGCAGTTTAATTTCAAACAACCCTTTTTTCTGCACTCAAAAATTGGAAGAGTGACTGAAATTCAAAGAAATACACTGTCAAGGTAACTCAAATTCATTGGCATTCAAAAAGGGAACTCAACTAAGATAATAGTTATGATGACCTAACCCAACTGAAGTTCGACGTCTTTAGAGCATATTAGGAAGCCTTCAACGAGGGAAAGTTTCAGGCAAATAAACAAAGGGAGAATGACAACACATCATGCAAGTTTGGCATAAGAGTAAAGGGAGTATAAGAGTACATTAGACAAAGTTTGTAATCAGATTTTTAATGAGCACCTCAACCATCTCCAGTCCATAGCAATCAATTGCAAACAATTGTAACAGATTAGTGAATCAGATATGCAATTGTATTTAGGATCTGCTTGACAGATTTCTTAAAGGCAAGAATTTAAGAATTCAAGTTTTGACAATGTTCTATGGCATAATTCAAGTTGCTTCACAGACTCGGTTGTTCAGTGGCATAATCAAGTCTTCAGAAAAGAAAATATCTTCCATGCATTAAAAACTTCTAAAATAAGTTGATTTGACCCATTAAAAGTCTACTGCATTTCACATATCGGTGAAAATTCAGGAATTTAGATAAATTGCTTAATTGCAAGTTTTAGCCTGCATCAGTTTGTTTCTTCTGATCCAATGAACCACTATGGCTCAAGCCCAAGGCATATGCTACACTCATTTGTTTCTAGTGATCCTAAGAACCAAGATATCAATAACGACGAACTCGTGTCGATTCATCCGTAGCAATAGGTCAGATTAAATGAACATTGTTTCCCAAAATTTATGAATCTGTTTTTCATTGATATGTTAAACCAAGCATTTTTGTGGCAACAGCAAACAATAATAACCTTATTTGAACAAGAATACTAATAAAGCTACCTTTTTTGTACATGTAAATTTTAAGGGTAATTCAGCCTGGGATTTTAATCTATCAAAAGCATATATGAAGTTAGAGAAAGATTACCTGTATCATCCCAGGATGGTCCCGGACATTATTCCCAGGCCATGGAGTTCCATCTTGCATGGTCCAACCATCTTCAGGAACCCTCTGAGCCATGGCAACCAACCCATTGATACGAACCTTAAACTCTTCATACTCACGCTGCAAACAAAATTGTGACAAACCCAAAGTAACCAAATATTAAAACTCCTAGACTGCTGACTGCCAATACCCCAATTCATCAGTCCTGAAATAAAATAAAATAAAAAATAAAAATAAAAGGTAAATTTTCTAGGTCAAGCATACAGTAATCCAATCAAACATGGTATTAAATAACCCAATGAGCCACTGTCCATTCCCAATAATGAATGATGGAGTTCAACTGGACATAGGTCAATGTTCCAAGGAGGCCCCACTCCACTGCTTGTCAATGAAAATGGATAATGCCCCTTTAGAGTTCTGTATATCATGCCCGAAATACTTGTAATATACTTTCCCAATTTACTACAAAAGTATGCCTACATCAACACATAGTTACATACCTTCATCGCACGTCTCTCTCTCACGAAAGCCGGATGAACTTTGTTTTTCAGATAATCAATTTTCTGAGCAAAGTACCATTCTGGTGCCCGGGGCTCAATACTGAACTTCTTGCAAAATGGGACCCACTTCCTTGCAAATTCAGATGTTTCTGAAAGAGCTTCAAAGGTAAGCATAGCAGCACCATCATCGGATACATAGCATGCAACTTTCTCTACGGGATAGTCCACAGCAAGAATCGATAATACAGTGTTTGCTGTTATTAGCGGCGGTTCTTTCAAGGGATCCACTGTACTCACAAAGATATCTATATCTGCTAGCTCTGAGGGTTTCCCTTCTTTCTCATACCTTAATACAAATTTCACATAAGCTAACTATAAGTTCCAATTCAAAATAAGACATTCTACAGGTAAGAATAAACAAAGAATTCTATTGCACAGCAATATATGAAATCGGAAAAGTACACCATAGTCTAGTACTAAAGCATACATTATTTGAACGAGGCATCCAGCAAGTTCAAAATGGATAGTGGAGATTAACTGCAGTGGCATATTAACCTCTATGCAGTTAATCTCCATTCTCCATGAATGGGAAGTGCTGGAGATTAACCATCCTGAGGTGCACTAGGACATTCAATCAGGTGAAGTAGGTCTCGAATATCCATTTACAACAGCTATTGCCCCTATTGACCACTGTATACCATATGCTGGACAATAATGTATGAATTTTGCAGAAAAAGATCCAATAAGCCAACAGGCATATACTGTAGCATAAGCCCATTGGAGCTAGAGGGGTTTTTTGAACCCTAAATTATGTACATATGTTCATATCATACTAGGATCTAAAAGAAATAAAAAATAAAAAAAGAAATTGCACAAAAAAGAGGTCCAAAATAGGTCCCTGATTCAGGGAACACAGACCATCATTCATTTGAATGGCCATTACATCAAGGTATTTAAGAACTCAAAAGCAAATATTTCTTTTTTCAAATTAATCATTTACCGAACTAAAAATGTTGCACGAAATTCAAGCCACAAAAGTTCCTCCAGCTATCCGTTCTTGCCAATGGGCTTCTACTGTAGCCTAACCCGGGCCTCAAAATGTTTTTCCTACTTTAACATATGGAATATCCCATACCTTAAGGACAAACGGTCCAGATATGTCTCTCGTACAATGGGATACCACTTTGGGAATTGGTCCAAAATCCATGATGCAGCAAACCATATTTCACAAATAACTGATGTAAGCCATAGACCATATGCATCTGAAACAGGATGAAGAAGCCTATAATGGAAGAAGAAGCCGAGCACCACAAGCCGGAGCAGGATAATCAATCTATACGGATTGATTTTGCTGGAAGGGATAGGCAACTTCCTAGAGAGAGGTTGCCTACCTTCATCTGACCTGAAAAATTAAATGAAGCTCTGTGAATGGAAGAGAGGATCATAATCAACATTACATGCATGAGTATATTTACATATGGCATAATAGTTATAAAATAGTTAGAAAATGCAAAACTATTTTCATAAAGTATGGTATTAAATATATTTTTATTTCTATTAACACCATGATGACATGTAAGTTATATTTGCTTTTTATACTTATTTTATTGTATTATCACATCCCAATGCCGGCAGGCTTCATGTCGAACAACCTTGACACATGTTCATGGAAGCTAATAGCAGTGTTCGAAAAGTCGGCCCAGTAGTTTCTACTCAGCCGAGTTACTCGGGCTCGAGCACTTGCCGTGAGCTGGAGGTCCACTTCGGGCATCTTAAAAAAGAATTAAGAAGATTATAAAAAATCTCAAAACAAATAAGAAAAATATTTGTAACATGTTTATTTATGTTATCTATCATTTTGGCAGAGATTGGAAATAATTTTGCCCATGAATACTTATTTTTACTTTTTCCCAACTTTTTTGGGAAATTTTGAAAATATCTCCAATCACAAACTCTTTTTTTAGAATCTATTTTGCACTACTTTTTTAACCACAATTAATTGTGTTTTGTTAAATTTTACTTTGAATATATTTTCCTATTCTTTGGGATTTTTTATAGTTTTAAATTTTCTAATAGTTTTCAGCTGCTACAGTAGTCGGGCCGAGTTACTTGGACTCAAGCAAGTACTTAGCTGGGGCATGGGCCAACTAGTCAGCCCGAGTAGACTTTTCGGGGACTAGGTGATAGGAAGTCCAGGTCCAAAAATAATTCTGTATGATATTGATTCTGGGAATCCTATATCCACATAACGAAGAGATACTGATTGTCATTGCTGTTATTGTTATACTTACTACTCATTTAATTGTTATTCTTACTACTCATTTAATTGTCATTGCTATTGCTTTGTTACCACTGTCATTGTTGCTGATGTTGTCGCCAAGATAAAAAATCCTTGCTTAAAGTAGTTATTGATGTATGAGAGAGAAAAAGAACAAGGTTTTCTGCCTTCATTTTTGACTAAAAACTATATCCAAGGAAAGTGTGAGGTGAAATGTACAAGAAACCATACACAACAACTCCCCAAAACCACTATTCCTTCTACCCAATCATTATATTAAAGAAAAAGTTTATATGGAGCCGAGGCTCTAAACAATCAGATTCAGCCCACCTAAAAAATTTTACTAGAAGAGGTTGTTTTCATGCCCAAATATCCTCAAATTGATCATCTCGACATCAAGATACATGGACATGAGAAAAAAAATGGATTTCAAGTTTTTGGAAATAAGGCATCTTGTACTGCTTTTTTGGACCGTCAATTTTCAATATTTTAAGTTTTCATAGATCTACTCGATCTACAATTATTTTTAAGCTTTAAATTTTATTATTAAAGATGATAATATATTTTAAGGTTAACTCACAAACATTTCCAGTATTGAGACCACATTTCTCGACACTATTTGAAGGTGAGCTTTACTTTGATTGTTTAGAGCCTCAGCTCTATACAAACAGCACCCTTATATTATATAAAGCAAGGAACAACAACTGCAATGCAATTGTTAGATTAATGAAGATGGCTTAAGTGCGTAATCACTCAGGCAAGTTAACAAATAAACAAAAGAAAACAGCATTCAAGAATACTATAAACACAATATCCATATCACAAAGAAACTCAACATACCCAGGAAATTCAGTATCATCTGGGGCATCAGCATCAGAGCCGCCTCCACCCCCACCTTGGTGTCTAACCATCTGCAGCTTATCTTGTCTCTTCTTCCACTCCTCAACACGATCCTTCCATGCCACACTTCCATAACCATACACTGCTAAGTCCTTGTTAGGATCCATGGGTCTTGGTGGCACTGTAAAAAAGAAAGATTTAAAAGTCAAAAACAATAAAAAATGTCCACTACAACTTTCTCTTTATATTACCAATAAAATCTTCGTCACTTGCCATGAAAATCAAGAACACATTCATCAACTAAACAATTTCAAAAAAATAAATAAATTCCATTAACCAAATATCAACTCCATGAAAAAGTCCTTGCATTCATTCAACCAAAAACCAGAATAATAGGACCAACTCACACGATAGATCAGGACATGGCATCGGATGTATGCGTTTGGCACGACCCATAAGCGAAGGTACAATAAGAGCATGATGATCAGGTGAAATTCCAGCATCCTAAAACCAGAAATTCAAAATAAATAATAATAATTTATTTAAATTATGAACTACTTATGAAAAAGAAGAAGCCACAATACAAGTTCAGAACCAAATTTTCGATACAAGTGAATGATGAGATCATTCAAAAAATTTACCTCCTGTCCATATGTGAGAAGAGGGACACCAGGAGTAACAGAATCCAAAGGCCGAGCTTCTATCCCAGCTCCTCCATCACTCCCACGCCCAAAGTTGAGTCGACCATGAAATATAGCCGCTGCATCACATTGTGAATCTCTCCAATCCCATCCGCCCAAATCAAATTCATTTTCAATATCATCTACATCTTCTTCTTCCTCATCCCCTTCCACCCTAGGGCTACCTGAAAAATGTGCCTACTTTCTTTTAGAGTAAAAGGCAAGAACGATAGAGCTAGAGAATTCGACTGATACCCAAATTTCAGAAGCAAAGGATAATTGTTCACATAAGTCTACCAAGTGTTTAGCTAGAAAGTTTAACAATTATAACTTTACCAATTGTTTAGCAAGAAAGTCTAGTCCTGTAGCCAAGTCTAGAATAATGAAACTATGATACAAAAGGAGTGGGGAAACCCTAAAAGAAAATCCATTGAAGTTCCATTAAAGAACCTAGACCTCAGAATCATCTACCACTGGAGAAAATAAACCTCCAACTATAATTTCAAAGGCGATACTTAAACTTTCAGAAACCGAGCATTATGGGTATTTGCAACTGGGGGTAATTGGTACTTAGAATGCTAAAAGTATCACATTGTGAAGATTGAAAATGGATTCTCAGTTAATGGACGAGTACACAGCCCATTAGAGACCGCCAAATATCCGAGTTTCAATGACAATGTGAGATGGGTTTTTCCCCTAGGGTCTGAATGAGTGAGAAATGATGAAAGGAAATAAAGATTGAAAGCATTGAGAAAGAGAAAAAAAAATACACAACATAATAAGGAAAACAAATGGTTAAGAAACTGAACAAATAGAAAATAAAACTTTGAGAGTGAGACCCGACCTTTGTGACGCTTGTATCTGGTTTTACATTGCGGGCAGGCCTGATTTCCCTCTCGTCTCTCATACTCATAACATGGTCTACACACAGGGAATGCACATTCATTACATGCGACAAATGCCTCTCCATCCACTGTTATCTCAATCTCATCGCCACAAATCTGACATGTCTGTCCACTCAATTCTCTCAATGGCTTCGGCTGCGAAAAACCCAACCCAAACAATCAACACTAGATCCAAATATCAACCAAAAAACCCAAATGATGATCCAGAAAACCCAAAATCCAGAAGAGAGCTAGAGTGAGAAAGTAAAAAAAGAGCACCCAAAAAAGAAAAAGAGGCAAAGCTAGAGAAAGAGAGAGTGAAAAGGACAGTTGGGTTCACCTCATCTGCATTGATGACTACGAACTCGTTTCTATTGTGAGAACCAGCAACCAGACGGCCATTGGTGTCCATGGCCAAAAGCTTATAATACACAAGCCTCAAAATCTCAATGCCCCAGCGCCCGATTCACAGTTTCCAACACTTTTAAACCATGAAGGGCCACCTCCATTGAACCCAATATACAGAAAAACAACACCACAGTTTTCCTTTTTTCAATCTTTTATCAATGTGGGGTGTTTTCTTTATCTGTGATGTGTATGTGTTGGACTCCTTCTTACAAATGGGAGAAATTTACCTGGCTGATGTCGATCGATGGGGACGAGCAGGTGAGAAATCAAATGCACAAGTGGAGACTGCGAGAAGAATCTAAAGCATAAATTCAACGCGTGATGAGAGAGAGGTACAGGGAAGAGACAGAGAAGACAGAGATTTAGAGAGAGAGAGAGAGAACCTGAGGTCCCCCCGCTTGCCTGGCCCTTCCCCCACTTTATTGTTGTCTGTATTTCTCTCTCTAGTACGCACTCTCTTTCTCTCTCTAGGACGCACTCTCTTTCTCTCTCTAAATATCTTTCTAAGACGCTCTCTTTCTCTCTCTAAGACGCTCTCTTTCTCTCTCTAAGACGCTCGCTCTCTCTCTATATCTCACTCTTTTCTTTATGACGCTTTGGGTTTTAGGAGGCCCACCGACTAGCCTTGTCTTTCCTCCAAATGACAATGTTTTTTTTTTTTTTCCAGTTAAAAGATGCATCGAAAATGTTACCCACCTTATTGCCTTTTTTAACATACAAATGCTAAACGGCTTAATTGTTAAACATTTAGGAAGCAAGCTTCTTCTTTCCTCTTGTCTTACTAAAGTGGCAATGATAAAAAGCAAGTAAACCAACTTTCGCCTCTCTCTCTCTCTCTCTAGAACTAAAAAAAATGATGTTAAAATTTAACCCTAATCAGTTCCAATTCATCTAGTATGATGTAAACGATTCTCGAACCAGATCAGTGCACATGTACAATTTAAAATTTTGAAAGAAAAATAGGATAATTGGATAGATTTTGGGATGTCAAAAAACAAAAATGTTATGAGCTGACTCGGGCAATTCTAAATACACGAACTCCTCCAATGTAATGTGTAGGCGGAGAGGAGAGGAGAGGAAGATTAAAGTGAAAGAAAAATGGCTTCTTCTACTTTGGAATAATAGATAAAATAGGCCCACCCCAATATTCTCCTAATATGATATTGATTAATAAGGGGTCGAATATTCCTCTGAAAGGTGTACGAGTAAATGCTTTTACTATTTTTCTTTAGATTTCGCAGAGGCAGACGATCAGATTTCGCAGAGGCAGATTAAAGCGGGCGTTTTTTATCCGCAGAGGTAGATCGCATCAGAGCCGTCCGTTTTGGGGCTGGGCCATGGATGAGAAAGCCGTCGGTGATTTTGGGAATGCAAAAACAACACCAATGTTTCTACTTTTTCCAGCTAGCAAACACCGGTGTTGCTTTGTATTGAAGCGGGCGTTTTTTTTATCCCCGACAAAAATAAAATGTCAAATAAAGCCGTAGATTCCACTACTTTGAAAAAAAAAAATTTATGTTTTAGAACCGTAGTATACAATTCACTCAGTATTAAAAACTTCCTTCTGTTTCTTTAGAATTCACTCACTGTTAAAAACTTCCTTCTATTTCCTTAGTTTGAGGATGATATTTGCTTTCAAAATTTGGAAATTAATTAGTTATAATTTTAGGCTAAAAAAAAGAGACAAGGGATAAATCCAAAAGGATATGGTTGGAAATCATGTTGGAAAAACCAGTCGATGTAACCGGTAACCACCCTATTAGATTGGAAACGGCCACCGGCCGAGTTTGGTTTTGAGCGGTTTTGGTGATTGACCTGTATTTTTTAAAAAATTCTAAAAATGTATATAAAATCCCAAAAAATAATGAATTTGATTTGTAATACATTTTTTAATATTCTTTACATTATAAATATTATAATTTGTTTTGGTCATTAATACTCACTTTTATATTTTCCCATCTTTTTCAAAACAAAATAAAAATACCTCTAGACACAAGTTGATTATTTAAAATCCATTTTTTTCATTAATTTTCAACTTTATTTGAATATGTTTTACTTTAATCATTCTTTATATATTTTTTATATTTTGGAAAAAATTATATAGATGCTCTAAACAATCAAATTAGAGCCTACCTCGAAACTTTCACTTGAAAATGTTGTTTTGAATCCCAAATATCATCAAATTGATCATCTCAATATCAAGATGCATGAAAATGAGAAAAAAAATGGATTTCAAGTTTTGGAAATAATGCATCTTATAACGCATTTTTTGACCATCAATTTTTTAGATTTTCAAGTTTTCATAGATCTGCTCTATCTACACTATTTTTAAAAGTTTCAATTTTATAACTAAAGATGAAAAAATAATTTAAGGCTGTCACAAAACTTTCCAGTATTGAAATTATATTTCTCAACCCTATTTGAAAGTGGGCTCTAATTTGATTGTTTAGAGCATCGGCTCTATGCAAACCGCACCTTTTATATTTTAGTAGATTCTTTTTTGTATTTTTTTTATTTTTTTCAACAAATTTTTTACCGCCTGGGACTTGTCAAGTTAGAACGGTTGAATTTTATTGGTTAGGCTGGTTAAACTGCTCCAGCGCCCCGTCCGGTTAATTGTTCTGATTCGATTTTATGAACACTAGTTGGAAGTAGTGAAAAAATATATAGAGCTTTATGACTTTCCGAAGGTCCAGTACGGCCCTTAAGAGAGCATAATAGTGAGGTATAATTCAAATAACCGATCATAAATAGTTTGGAAAAGGCTTTAATCCAAAATCTTAATTTCAAATCGAGTCGATACAATTATGAAGATCTAGAGAACCTGTTGACACAGTCAAAATGCAAATCACAAACCTCCTAGTTTTTTATTTATTTTTATCACGTTTACAAAAAGCTTCAAAAAATAGACACTTTGAAGCTTCTACTAAAAACAAAGTTAATACCATTATTTTTTCTTTGGGAGTTCGTAGATAGTTCATTGTGATAAGACCCCATGTTTAAATTGAAAGATTCATGCTCAGAAAGGTTTAGACCCCAATAAAGAGAAACACACACAGTAGCTGCTCAAATAAAATAACTGTCAACATCATAAATGGCTCTAAAAAAACTATGCTTATGGCTTAGAGTTTCGAATGTCAACCCACACTTATCCTCTCACTCACCTAACACTGAAAATAACTAAATGAATCAATTAAACTAAAATGGAGGAGAAAGAGTCAATATGACTTACGACGTAGGCATAGTACATCAAATTTGGTTTGGTCCGGTGTGGAAAAACTCGGAAAGCCAACTTCGACTCACCTGAGTGACTCAGAGTCCAGTATCCGGAGTTGGGTGGTCTGACTTCATCTAAAAAATCAGAAAACATTATAAAAAATGAGAACTTTATTTGTAGGGCACGTTTGATAAGTGAGAGTTTATGGACGTAAGAATTGAACTTCTCACTTCCACGTTTGATATTAACTGTAGAAGCTACGAATTGGAAGGGCGGCCTTCTTAGCAGTATTTTTTTTAACATCAAAATGGGTCTACTTTTGGAAAACCTCTCTTCTATAAAAAAAAAAAATGAAGGGTGATCTTCTATAATTTGTGAGAGACTCCCTTCCACTACCAAAAACTCGAGAATCCCTTCCACTTCAAAAACTTCGCATGCCAAACGCAACCATAAAAGTGTTTATTATTTTTTACTAGTTTGTTCAATATAGAAAGGTGTTTATTATTTTTTACCAGTTTATTAAATATTGAAAAGTGTTTTGGCTATGAATATTGAAATGTGTTTATTATTTAATTTTATTTTTAACATATTTTTTTAATCCTTTTGGATTCTTTTATTTTTTTTTTAAAAAAAAAATATGGTTCGGGCTGGAACAAATCCCATTCCCGAGTCATGGAATTATACACTTGGGTTGGTCGTTTGAGAAAAAGGGAAAACGAAGTAGGGTCAGTTTGTCATTGAATAAATAGTTATGGTTACTTTATTACAGTGATAGAGGGCAGACAGGCAGGGCAAGTAGAGAGAGAAAGTGGGAAGGGAGCGTCAAGGCCCACTCGCACGCGGCGTCCACCAACGGGGATCACGGCATGGGCGTGATCCCCGTCAATTCCCTCACCCTCACGTAATAACTCTCTCTCTCAATAATTTTTGTTTTTTTTTAATGTTAAATAACAGAATTTTTCTTTATTTTCCCATTAATTTTGGAACATTTGAAAGTTTAAATTTCAAATAAGGGTTCATCGTATTATATTTTAATTTTGATTGCAAAAATTTTTTTGAATTTATTTTTTATCATTTGAAAATTATAAATTCAACTGGATGGTATCCATTGAGGCTGTTTGCCTTTTATACTGGGAGTTTACTGTTATTTATAACCATTTGACATAAAATTTGATAGGTTTGATGCGTTATAAAATTCGAAAAAAAAAATTTTGAACTTTGAGATTGATCAATAAAATAACTACAGCAACCCAAATTCACATCCAATGGTCAAGATTAATTGTGACCACCTTGTACCAAAGATGAATGGTCTCATTATATACTTTCTCAATTCAAATAGGAAAAGTATATACCAATGGTTTAAAAAACGGATCGGTGACCCGGATCGGGCTTCCAAAAAACCGATCCGGATCGGCGAATCGACGATCCGGATCGAGAATCAGGTGAATCGGTAAGAATAAAGCTTAAAAAAAATTCGAAAAAATTATTAAAATTCATTATAAATATTGTTTTTTAGGAATTCAATAAAAAAAGAGGGTACTCCATTAAGAATTTTCATGTTTTTGAATGAATATGCGAATATTGATATGTTCTTTCCCTGCATGAACCGCCATTCAGCATTTAATTTACAGTATTTCGTGCTCATCCCTACACTGTTGCTGTTGGGACTCGATATGTGAATAATATGGCTGGGATAGGGTGGCCTCAGAATCATCATCTCTCTCATTTTCTCTTTGAATAATATGGAATTAAAAAAAAAAATAACAAATTTTTTAAAAAATCGATCATGGATTAAAAAAAAAATCACAAATTTTTTAAAAATTCTATCATGGATTACAAAAAAAAATCGATCATGGATTAAAAAAAAAAAATCACAAATTTTCAAAAAATTCAATCATGGATTACATAAAATTCGATCATGGATTACATAAAATTCGATCATGGATTACATAAAATTCGATCATGGATTTCATAAAATTCGATCATGGATTAACAAAAAAACAAACAAAAAAAAACAAAACAAAAAAAAAACAAACAAAAAAAACAAAAAATTCAATCGTGGATTACAAAAAAAGAAAAAAACA